ACCCTAAACCCTAAACCCTAAACCCTAAACCCTAAGTGAAATGTCCGGCGAGTTGCGGCGTGCCCTCCTCTTTCCTCCTCATCTGGCAGGGGCATGATCATCCTCGGAAACTGGCTACCGGTGGCATGCACACTGGGCTGCTGTTACGGAGCTTGAATTTGCCATAAGAAGGAAGTCATCTCCCTCTATGTAGAAATAGGAAAATATAAATAAAAAATATATATGTATATATATACACACATATATATACATACGCATCTACATGACGGTAGCCTGATGCAAGTTCCTGAACAGCAACGCAGACAATTCTCCCCAAACCCTAACCATGAATGTTTTCGCGGTCTCGCTGATCAGCCTAGCGCGCCCCCTAAACCTTAAACCCTAAACCCCTGGGGCCTTGAGCCTAAACTGCCAGCAAAACGCCATAATGACATCTAAGCCTCTACGCCCTTAAACCCTACACCCTACCCCAAAACATAACCAAAAAAATTGCAGGAACCCTGAACCCGAAACCCTACTTCAGACTTGCTGTGGAGCGGGCTTCAGGAGGGGTTCAGGGCTAGGGTTCAGGATGGGCTTGATGTGCAGTAGGTGCGCAGTTTAGAGTAGGGTTCCCCGGGTTTACGAGTTGAATACTTCCAACGTAAGAACCAGGATGTGCACAAACCTCGTCAGCCCAAGCTGCTTTCCAGTCGATGACACCTCCTTCGTCTGGAAGCTGGGAAATACAGAGAAGCCGAAAACGAAAGGGTAACCGTTCCTGATGCACATCTTCATCTGGCTCAGTTCCTGCACCCAGCTGCTCTGTACACTTTGAGATCTGGGTCTCCGAGTCAGGGCTGTGCGGGTTTAATTTTAGGGACGATGAGCTACATGAGCTGCTACATGAGCTAGCATGGACTGTGCCAAAGCTCTGTCAGATGGATATGGGATCATTCATTCTAGACGTTCTTTGTCTTGGATGGCCCCTTTTGTGGTTTGTGCCCCCCCCCCCCGCCGTCGCGAAGGCTGCGAGTACCGAACCCGATGCCACTCGACAGCCGAACCGCCTCAAATGTCCCTGAACCCTAAACCCCAAACCCCAAACTCCGAACCCTAAACCCTAAACCCTAAACCCTAAACCCTAAACCCTAAGCCCTAAGCCCTAAGCCCTAAACCCTAAACCCTAAACCCTAAGCCCTAAGCCCTAAGCCCTAAGCCCACTGCCCTGGCCTGTGCCACCCGGGCGTAGCCAACAACCTTGCACTTCCTTCGAGGCAGGGAACCCTGAACTTGGCGATGAGGCTTCTAGGGGTTTAGGGTTTAGGGTTTGGGTTGAGGTTTTAGGGCTGTCGGTTAGCTAGCCATGAAGGAGTTGTAATGCAGCCCAGTATCTTGGCAAGCTCGTAGCAGAACCACTCCGGCTCCTGTTTGAATTTGTCTCCAGTGTCGTCGTACCTCAATTGTCGTCGTCTTCAGATGGGCTGACTAAACCAGCGGCACATGCCTCGACTGAACATTTAGCGGCTGTTGAGAGATTAGGACAGCCGGAGTGAAAGCTTCGGCGAACCGGGGCAGAGCAAAATCTAACTCCAGAGAAAGCACACGCGGTCAGCGCAGCATTCGTAAGTGTCTCAGTGTCTCACGGGCTATGAGGAAGCGCGTGCATGAAACACGGGCTGCAGCGCGAAGGCCACAAAATTCAGAGTCCAAAGTGCTCTAGCTGGCCTCACGAGAAGCCATAAAGCCTACACCCAGAATCCTAAAGCCGAAACCCCAAACTCCCAACCCTAAACCCGAAACCCCAATCCCAGCACTGTGGCGCTTCAAAGCCGTGAGGCGACCAGACCTTCTCTGGGCAAACTCCGACTTTCGCCATCGTCTGGACAGGGTTACTCCGCAGCTTGGAAAGCTGTTTCATAGTGTCCTTAAGGGAGGAGGGTTCAAGGGGGGGTATGTAACCCAAGCACTCCTCCCTTAGGCTCCCTAAGCTTCCCTAAAGCCATGCATGGCGCTGCCCTAAACCTTACACCTTCTACCCCGACCTTTCAAACCCCAAGCTTTCTAAAATTTCGGCGCGGCTGCCTTCAACCTGCATCCCCGAAAACCAATGTTCAAATGTGACTCCCTAACCCTACCAAATGGTAGGCCATAACCCCCTCAATGTAAGGCATAACCCCCCCCCCAAAAAAAAGAAAAAAATGTAGGGAAATGGAGCCCGGGAAACGGAGCCCCATGTTTAGGATTTAGGGCGTGGGGTTGAGGGCTTCGGGCACGGTCAGTTTCTGACGTCCCGTCGGGGCATTTGGCTTCTTAAAGAACCCAAAGAAGAGTCACAGCAACTTAGATATTACATCGACCTGGGATCTTTAGGGTTTAGGGTTTAGGGTTTAGGGTTTAGGGTTTAGGGTTTAGGGTTTAGGGTTTAGGGTTTAGGGTTTAGGGTTTAGGGTTCAACCCTAAACCCGAAGCCCTAAAAAGGACTGGCCCGGGCCTTGATGCCGTCGCGGAGCATGCCACCTAAGTCCCACCTGACGAAGCCCTCCACGTACCGCTCGTTGTAGTAGATGAACCTGAGGGTTTAGGGTTTAGGGCTTAGGGTTTAGGGTTTAGGGTTTCGGGTTTAGGGTTACCGCTCGTTGTCGATGAACCTGAGTGTATGCAGGGTGTCTAAGGGTAGTTACATGGTCGCTTAGTATGGGACCTTAAACGGGGACCCCTTCTATACCCCCTACATACACTATTTAAACCAAGGGCCCATACTTCAGAACCCTTTGAAGAAGGTACGGGGCAACACTTAGAGGGTTGAGCACCTAGCAATCCTGTCACCCCCCGACCGGGTCGAACTAGGGGGTACCCTAAGCCCTAAGCCCTAAGCCCTAAACCCTAAGCCCTAAGCCCTAAGCCCAAATTGCTCAAGCTGAGCTCAGGGCCACCAAAGTGCAACATGGTTCGAGAATAAGGTTGAATGGAGCTGCTACTCGGTAGCCCCGTAATTTGATCACAAAAAGGGTGCACTTTTTTGGGGGGTGGTTTGTTTCTATATATTATGTATATACCGACATACACACATACATGAAGCTTGAACCCAAAAAGTGAAAAGGGTACCACTGGGCTACAGAGATGCTGGTGCTACGGTGTGTATCTTCCTAGCATGTATCATCTTCCCATGAACATGGGCCATGATTCATGGCTGTCTTTGACTTCGTCTTCTATCACCTTCATACAGGATGCCCTAAACCCTAAACCCTAAGCCCTAAACCCGAAGCCCTAAACCCCAAAACTGAGGCCCACCCTGGCAAACTTTGGGGGCCAAGGAGCAGGCGACTGGGCGTGAAGTCCCTGAAGTCTGCATGGTCCTGCCCCCGAAGCCCTAAACTTTAAACTTTGAACGGGGGAGGGATTCTAGCGTTCAGGGTTCAGCGCTACGGTTTAGGGTTTTTGGGTTTAGGGATACAACAGCTTAGCTTTTGGGAGAGTCTTCAGTGGGCTTTAGGGTTTGGGGTTGAGGGCTTGGGGTTTTCAACATTCTCAATGTTGAGATTATTATAGCGGCCATACCCGTAGCTACCCATGAACCTGTCTAAAACTCCCAAAGCCCCCAAACCCCCCAAAACCCCTCAACCGCTAAAACCCCCAAATCCCTAAAACCCCTAAACCCCCAAAGCCCCCCCCCCCCCCAAAGTCCCTAAATCCCTGACGCGGAGAAACCCAAAACCCTAACCCGAATCCCGAAATCCGAAACCCTGAATCCGAAACCCTAGCCCTAAACCCTAAACCCTAAACCCTAAACCCTAAACCCCAAAAAGATCCTCCATGGCCCCAAAAAGATCCTCCATGGTCATCTTGTGAACTGTGAAGTGAAAGGCAGCTGCCAAAGCATTGGCCGTGCAGCTGCCCAAGTTCCCTCGGTTCTCCGGGTATAGGGTTTGGGTTTAGGGTTTAGGGTTTAGGGTTTAGGGTGTAGGGTTTAGGGCTTAGGGCTTAGGGCTTAGTGCTTAGGGCTTAGGGCTTAGGGCTTAGGGCTGAGGGCTGAGGGTTGAGGGTTGAGGGTTGAGGGTTGAGGGTTGAGGGTTGAGGGTTGAGGGTTGAGGGTTGAGGGTTGAGGGTTGAGGGTTGAGGGTTGAGGGAATCCTTCCGTATCTGCATCCGAACACCGGAAGCCGGCCCTTCTATTGGAGAGGGCACATGCTCGTCCTGACAAGGAGCCACCAAGCCCTAAACCCTAAACTCTAAACCCTAAACATGTGCAAAACCCTAAATGCCGGAACTAAACCCGAAATGCCCTAAACCCTAAGCCCTAAACGTTCTAAACCCTAAATGCCCTAAACCCTCAACCCTAAATGTTCTAAACTCTACATGCCCGAAACCCTCAACCCTAAACCCTAAACCCTAACTACCCTAACTACTCTAACTACTCCTAAACCCTAAACCCTAAACCCTAAACCCTAAACCCTAAACCCTAAACCCTAAACCCTAAACCCTAAACCCTAAACCCTAAACCCTAAACCCTAAACCCTACTACCCCCTAAACCCTTTTCTGCGTCGTGCCTTGGTTGAAGATGGGAAAATCTTCAGTGGGACGGAGGTCCACCACCAGCTTGCCAGAGGGGTCCGATCTCTTTCGGGTCCTCAGTGTGAGTGTAGGGCTTAGGGCTTAGGGCTTAGGGCTTAGGGCTTAGGGCTTAGGGTTTAGGGTTTAGGGTTTAGGGTTTAGGGTTTAGGGTTCAGGGTTTAGGGTGCAGGGTTTAGGGCTTCGGGCTTAGGGTTTAGGGTTTAGGGTTTAGGGTTACGGATTTAGGGGCTTAGGGTTTCGGGGCTTTGGGAAGTTAAGGGTCGCTGCGGCTTCCGCGTCATCGCACTTAATTTGTGTACGGTCCTCATTACCCTGAAACCTGAAGCCCAAGTGAAAATGGGCTATTTGGGTAGCTGAAATCAGGGCCCGTGAGGAACCTGTGATTCCCTGGGGGGAGATTCTGTGTGGGATGTCCCTTCGGAGGGCTGAGGGAACCCTGAAATGTGTGGGTTTTTTGCTGCACTTCTGTAGCTTAGTAGCCCAGTAACCATATTCTCATAAGGGCACCCTTTTTTTGGCTGGTTACTTTTTATGAGGGGACCCAGAACCAAAAAAAGGGTAAAGGGTACCACTGGGCTACCAAGGTAGGCACATGGACAGACGACTCAAAATGCCGAGCCGCCCTGCCCGAGGCTCTACGTCTTTGAACTTCACGTGGTGGTCCCGATGATCTGGTATGTCCTGAGTTTTCTTGCAGCTCTAACCTCAGTGGTTTCGGGCTCAAGGTCACGTATACGGTTTTGGGTTTTGGGGTGCGGCTGGGGAGCTGAATGCAAAAAAATGCATCCGATGGCCGCCTACCCATCCCTGATGGTTCACCTTGAACTTTGAACCTCCTGAGTGCGAACTAAACCCTGAAGCCCGAAACCCTGAGCCCTGAACCCTAAACCCTAGACCCTAAACCCTAAGAGCCACACCAAAGTGACAAACTTGTAGGACGTAAAGCCTAGCGGTACAACACCTTAAAGAACACCTGCAAGACAACTCACAGCCAGGCACCCTCAAAACCTCAAAGCCCCAAAACCCCCTTTCGGGCTCTTGAGCTTTAAAAGCGCACCTTAACCTCACACCCTCATTTCGCCCTCACCCTACACACCGCAATATCCCAGAGCGTGCCAAGCAGAACGCTAAACCCGAAACCTACGGCTCCGAGAGTCTTTCTTCCAGCCCATCCTCTGAACGTTCCGCTGGGGCAGTGACTGTAGACTCGCATGCCTTCCTCTTGGCTGGAGTGGCTTGTTTTTGGAGGGGGCTAGAACCCTAAACCCTCAACCTTAAACCCCTAAACCCTAAGCCCTAAGCCCGAAGCCCTAAGCCCTAAACCCTGTCGGAAAAATTTCAGGGGCCCCATAGAACTTTGAAACGATTCCCAAATGAACCCTTCCAGTCGATTTCGGGTTTAGGCTCCAGTTACCCTAAACCCTAAACCCTAAACCCTAAACCCAAACCCTAAAACCCTAAACCTAAACCCTCAACCCTAAACCTTAAACCCTAAACCCTAAACCCTAAACCCTAAACCCTAAACCCTAAACCCTAAACCCACCCCCTAAACCCTTTTAGGTTTAGGGCTTTGCTTTGTCGGGCTCGGGTTCACGGCCCCGGGCTTCGGAAGACCGACCGACCACTTCAGGCCACAAGGCTCTCAAGCCAGCTCGCTCCCAAGACACCTCAAGGTAGGGTTTAGGGTTTAGGGTTTAGGGCTTAGGGTTTAGGGTTTAGGGTTTTGGGTTTTGGGTTTCGGGTTTCGGGTTTAGGGTTCAGTCATTTGAAGCCCGGATCCCTCCGAAAGGATGTCAAAGGTAAGCTCCGAACCCTGAACCCTAACCCTAAACCCTCAACCCTCAACCCTCAACCCTAAACCCTAAACCCTAAACCCTAACCCTCAACCCTAAACCCTACACCCTAAACGCTAAACCTTCTACCTTGGGATCTGTTAGGTTCTACCCCTGGCTTCGGAGAGCTTCTGCGCAGACTCCCGCAATGTCGAGGCCGGGTGGGGTCGAGGGTTTAGGGAATTTGGGGGATTTAGGGATTTAGGGTTTAAGGTCTGGGAACTAAAGTTTAGGAAGTGTAGGAGATCCTAGCGCTCGACTTGGGTGAACACCCAAAACCCAAAACCCAAAACCCTAAACCCTAGGCCCTAAACCCAAAACCCAAAACCCTAAAACCTAAACCCAAAACCCTAAAACCTAAACCCTGAACCCTCGTCGGGCCGCCTCTGTCTGCCTCGGCCGCAGGCTCCGCGGCGATCTCTGAAACTCCGGGATCCGCGCACCTGGGCTCTTGGGGGCCCTCGGGGGCTTAGAGTGTTGGTTTAGGGTTTAGGGTTTAGGGTTTAAGGTTTAAGGTTTAGGGTCCAGGGTTTAGGGTTTACGTTTTAGGCGTTTAGGCTGGTTATCATTCGGAAAGGGCCCTCTCCGAACCTTGTTTGGTTATCATTCGGAAAGGGCCCCTCCGAACTTTGTTTGGTTATCATTCGGAAAGGGCCCCTCCGAACCTTGTTTGGTTATCATTCGGAAAGGGCCCTCTCCGAACCTTGTTTGGTTATCATTCGGAAAGGGCCCCTCCGAACCTTGTTTGGTTATCATTCGGAAAGGGCCCCTCCGAACCTTGTTTGGTTATCATTCGGAAAGGGCCCTCTCCGAACCTTGTTTGGCTATCATTCGGAAAGGGCCCCTCCGAACCTTGTTTGGTTATCATTCGGAAAGGGCCCGCCCGAACCTTATCTGGTAATCTTTCGGAAAGGGCTCTCTCCGAACCTTGTTTGGCCCCTCCGAACCCTGTTTGGGTCGTTATAAGGGCTATCTACGGGAATAAGATTAAGGAGGGGTCCCCCTTTTCTGCCCCCTAAACCCTAAACCCTAAACCCTAAAACCCTAAACCCTAGACCCTAAACCCTAAACCCTGAACCCTAAACCCTAAACCCGAAACCCCAAACCCAAAACCCAAAACCCTAAACCCCAAACCCCAAACCCTAAACCCTAAACCCTAAACCCTAAACCCTAAACCCTAAACCCTAAACCCAACCCTTGACATCCAGCGATAAACGAACCGAACCAAGACGGTCGTGTTTCGAGGCTCGAAAAAGGCTGTGTACCAGCACACAACCCAACGAAAAGCCGCACCCGGAGTCTGAACCCTAAACCCTAAACCCTAAACCCTAAACCCTAAACCCTAAACCCTAAACCCTAAACCCTAAACCCTAAATCATTCTTCTTGCGGGTCTTAGGTGCTTGCTGTCGCAGGACCCCATCCAATAAAGATATCGCACCTGGGCATGGCTCAACTTGCGAAGCCGCGCCTTCCTCTGAATTTAGGGCTTAGGGCTTAGGGTTTAGGGTTTAGGGCTCAGGGTTTGAGATTTAGGGCTTAAGGCTTAAGACTTAGCGTCGGGGGATTTTAGGCTAAACCCTAAACCCTCGTCCCCTGCCCAATGCTGGCTGGGCACCTAAAGCCCAAGAGCTTGATGGCGGCCTTTCTGCACGGGAAGCTTGAGCCAACATCAAAGTTGCAGCATGTGGATAATAATCCTCACAATCTAGGGCTTAGGGTTTTGGGGTTTAGGGGTTTAGGGGTTTAGGGGTGCATAGATCCCGTATTCCACCCTGGTGGACGAAGATCCTACGCAAGGGGATCTCCTTGGAAGGACTTGTTGACGTAGCAGAGTAGGGTTTAGGGTTTAGGGTTTAGGGTTTAGGGTTTAGGGTTTAGGGTTTAGGGCTTAGGGCTTAGGGTTTAGGGTTTAGGGTAGCAAGTTGGGTTATGGGGATGATTGTAAGGTTTCTGGGGGAGATGTCTGACCAAGTCGGAAGGGCTTCCAGGTACCCATAGTGAGCCCAGGGTTTAGGGTTTAGGGTTTAGGGTTTAGGGTTTAGAGTTTAGAGTTTAGGGTTGAGTCGCTATTTTGACGCGCCGCTGATAGATCAGTTGCCGACCAGGGGCACAGGAAAGACATGCATTTACCAGGAGCCGCTTGTCACCTTGCGCAAGCAGCTCAAAACAATATCCGGAGCCTACGAGCCGGTCTCCATCGGTTTAGGGTTTAGGGTTTAGGGTTTAGGGTTTAGGGTTTAGGGTTTAGGGTTTAGGGTTTAGGGTTTAGGGGAACCCCACAAAAGGACCCAGCTCAGGCTCCAAACCGTGGAAGGGGAAGTACACACTGCGTTTACAGGAGTGATGCTCCCCCCACGAAAACTTCAAAAACCACGGCGATTCTCCTCCGGTCCAAGCACCTTAGAATCAGGGCATTGCAGAGGATGCGGGTGCTTCGAATCTGGGAGTTTGTGGGGTTTAGGGTTTAGGGCTTGCTTGATGGGACTTGGGACAGAGGGGTTTAGAGCTTAGGGTCAGGGTTACAGCGGCTGCATGTAGAGTCGCGTCGCACTTCCTCTTGACAAACTGCCCACCTCAATCCCGAAATCCTAAACCGAAGGACGGAAACCCTAAACCCTAATCCCAGTCCAGCCGCAGCTAGTTGCTGAAGGAAGGCTGAAGGAGAAACGCATCCATGGCGATTTACTTCTTGACTGGCTTCGCGGCGGCATTCTTGAAGCCCTCCACCCAGTTGATGGCCCAGAAGTCGGAGGCAAGCGCAGGGTGGCACATGTACTCGTAGGGCATGTAGAAGTAGCCCTTGTCACCCCACCTGAGTTGGAGCAAAAAACTCTTTAGGCTTTGAGCGGGTAAGAAGCACCGCGGATCATGCAAACGGAGGCTTGGAGAGGGAGCACCCCCACCAAAGCCAAGCAAGCTGAAACATAGGGCTTCAGGGTTTAGGGTCGGCATGCGATCAGGCGGGCGGCCCCTCTCCCCAGGAGTTGCGGACGATGAAGCATTGCTGGAAGTCGTCGTAGCCTACTGCGCACACAGCATGGCCGCCCAGCTGCTGATCGGTCGCCTGGGGCATCACCATCTTGCCGGTCCTGGCAACCTCCGCTGTCTGGAAGCTTGACAGGACGGCGAAGCCGAAGACGAAGGGGTAGCCGCTCTTGATGCACATCTTGAACTGGCTCAGGTCCTGTGCAACGCGGGCGTAGCCCATGACCCTGCACTTCTGCGCGATCTCATATGCCTTGGCGTCCGGCTCCTGCTTGAAGAAGTTGGGGCCATCGTCGTACTTCCAGACGCTCTCGGGGCACACGCCCACCTTGGACATGACCTTGATGCCGTCGCGGATCATGGCCCCGGCGTCCTGGTTCACGCTGCCCTCCACCAGGCGCTCGTTGTAGTAGATGAAGAGGCGACTCGGGGTGAAGTCGGCGAAGTCCTATAACGAAACAAAGGAGATGCTGCAATTGCTGCTGCTAGAGTACTGCAGCAAGCCTTCTGCCCCTTCTTGTTATATCATGGCAGCATGCTAGCAGCTAGCATTGTGGGTGTGAACAGCCTCATCGCCCTAAACCCAAATCTCAACACATGGAAGTTCTTGCACAAAAAGAGTTGAGTTTCAGGGGCTCCAAACCTTTCTGTATACGGCCCTAGGCATTGGTTACTCAATATGGGCCCCATCATCATCAGTGCACAATTTTGGGGGTTTGGGTGGTCAAATATAGTCCTACTGGAATGTTTGTTTTCTGAAAGAAAGGGTAGATGCACAAAATTATGGCAAATGTCCCTAACGGTAACGGTCTATGGGTCACCCTACTTGTGAAGGTTCGTCGGTAGTTATCTGTGGGGCAGTAACTACCCTAAATTCCCCAAACGAAAAGCGCTCCCAAATCCTAAATCCTAAGCCATAAACCCTAGACCCTAGACCCTAAACCCTTAACCTCCCAGTCGGCAGCTTTCAACTCCTAGTTTATAGCGGAGACTAAAAAAGGGTTTTGGGTTTTAGGGTTTAGGGGTTTAGGGTTTTAGGGTCTTAGGGTCTTAGGGTCTTAGGGTCTTAGGGTTTTAGGGCTTTAGGGTTTTAGGGCTTTGGGGTTGTAGGGTTTTAGGGTTTTAGGGCTCTAGGGTTTAGGGCTTTAGGGCTGTTTGGTTTTAGGGTTTAGGGTTTGGTGGATGTGTCTGCGTCTCCAACCTCCAGATACACTTTGAGGGAGATCCGTTAAGAAGCATTGGGTTGTCCTTGTGGTTCTCCACCTCCATCTTGTGCAGCGTGAAGTGGAAGGCGGCTGCCAAGGCGTTTGCCGTGCAACTGCCGAGATGGCCCTGGTCGAAGATGGGGAACCCGCCTGGAACTTTAAGGTTTAGGGTTTAGGGCTTGGGGTTTAAGGTTTAGGGTTTAGGGTTTAGGGTTTAATCCGAGCTTCTGATTAATTGGTGGGGCCCCCCCCCCCCCCACAATAAGGAATGCAGCGTTCCGCAATAGTTGGACCATGGCACTGTATTGATTCTCTATTAAAAACAACAGGCTGCAGATCCCTGAGGTGCTGTAGCTTTGCGTCTCCGCAAGCAAAACAAGAAGCCTGCCGACAGATTTCTGAACCCCCCCCCAAAAAATTCCTTTAAATGTGGGGGGTTTGTCCCATACGAAATCCACCCTAATGGAAAGTAGTCTTCCGGCGGGCTTCCGGCCAAAAACAATTTCTTTAAATGTGGGGGTATTAATTAAACTGATGCTCGGATTAGGGCTAGATGGGGAAGCCACCTGGCCGCAAGCGGGGGCGGATCGTGGCAAGTCATAGGCTTAGGCTTCAGGGCTCCGAGGGCTTTGGGCTTCCTTTAAACCCTAAACCCTAAACCCTAAACCCTAAACCCTATGATGGAGCTTTGAGGCCCTGAAGCTGGCTAGGCCCACAGGCCCAGGACCCATAAGTCCCAAAAGGGCTTCGGACTGCGCAAGAAGCCTGAAGCCTTCGCCCCCAACTCCTACCTAGACGCTAAACCCTACAACCCTACAACCCCGCAACCCTAAAACCCTAAGACTCTGAAACCCCAAAACTCCTAAAACCCTGAAACCCCAAAGCCCTAAAGCCCTGAACCCGTAAACCCATCAGTACTTGCGCGTCCCTGGCAAACCCTTACCGGCTACTCTCATGCCCAAATCGCAAACCCTAAAACCCTCAGTCTCTAAACCCTGGACCCTACAACCCTAAAAACCCTAGATCCCCAAAAACCCTGAACCCATGAGGATCTGCCTTGTCGGTTTCTCTTCTTGCCAACCGTATCGTTCAATATGCTTCCGTATCGTAGGCCGATGCCCGGCGCAACCCCTCGTACTAAGGGGTGCAGCAAACCTCAATCCTAAACCATAAAAAAAACATACACAAATACATGTGCATATATATATATATATATGTATATATATAACTTTCAAGGCTATACATCTCTATGTGTATATATATATATATATGTAAACCCTAAACCCGAAACCCTAAACCCTAAACCCTAAACCCTAAACCCTGAACCCTGAACCCGAAACCCGAAACCCTAAACCCTAAACCCTAAACCCTAAACCCTAAACCCTAAACCCTAAACCCTGAACCCTGAACCCTGAACCCTGAACCCTAAACCCTAACCCTCCCCCCCCCCCCCCCCCCCCCCCCCGCCGTTCATCGGGCGAAGGTCCACCAGCTCCTTCTGCCCGTCAGCCTTGAACTTGATCCTCGGGAGAGGCTTCTGGAGCTTCTAGATGGGGTTTGGGGTTTGGGGTTTAGGGTTTAGGGTTTGGGGTTTAGGGTTTAGGGTTTAGGTTTTAGGGTTTAGGGTTAGGGCTGAGGGGTTGGGGTTGGGAGGGATACTATGATCCCTATCAAGGACTGTTACTCTAAGGGGAACATCCCAAGTTCTGGAGCTTATAGATTGCATAGTTTCCTCACAGGTTCGCAGGTAGCTATGGGTGCGGGTACATTCTGTGTGGGATGTGTACATAGTTTAAGGTTTAGGGTTTAGGGTTTAGGGTTTAGGTTTTAGGGTTCAGGGTTCAGGGTTTGGGGTTTAGGGTTAAGCGTTTAGGGTAGTTTCAGGTTTAGGGTTTAGACTTGTAACCCTAAGCTCTACTTATGTCCATGATCGTGCAAGTAGTGGGGCTGCTGAGGGCTTCAGGGCTTCGAGGGATAGCTCCCCTGTCTGAAAAGATGAAGGCAAGACTTGCTTGTTTGTAAGGGTTTAGGGTTTGGGATTTAGGGTTTAGGGTTTAGGGTTGAGGGTTGAGGGTTGAGGATTGAGGGCTTAGGGTTTAGGGTTTAGGGTAGGACCAACATCTCGCGAAAGGCGAGCAAGAGCTTACGTGGAGATTTCTCAGAGACTTCTGTATCCAACTAACCCAGATGTGAACAGTTTTCAACTGACTGACTCCTATACAACAAGAAAGCCCCAAAAACAAGTAGCTTGTAAAGTTCAATGATTGGCGAGTACAGTAGAACTCATACAGGCCGGTGGCCTCTTTATCTGCTACCCTTATACCTTAATGTAGGTCCTAGATCCCTGATAAGAACCCCCAATATATGCCCCTATAAAACAGAAACCCTACTTAAAGAGACCACCAACCCATCTTAGTAGCCCAGTAACCATATTATAATAAGGGCACCCTAAAAAAAGGGTAAAGGGTACCACTGGGCTACCAAGCCATATAAACCCTAGACGCTGAACCCTGAGCCCTCAACTCGAAATTGACCCCAAAACCCTGAACCCTAAACACTAACCCCTACCCTTACTCAGGACAGCCCGACACAGAAACCCTACTTCAAGAGACCACCAACCCATATAAAGTAGAACCACTTGGTAGCCATCTTATTATAAGGGCACCCTTTTGGGTTGGTTTCTGTATAAGGGAAACCGAAACCCAAGAAAAGGGTAAAGGGTACCACTGGGCTACCAAACCATATGAAGCAGGGTTTCTAAAAACCTAAACCCTAAACCCTAAAACCTAAACCCTAAACCCTATAAAGTAGAACCAAGAATCTTGCTGGGGGCCTCCACCTTGGGGAAAGTGACGTGGAGGTCGCGGTGGTCCGGGAGGTCCTGGGCTAAGACGCGCTCCGACCCAAGATCCTCGAAACCCTAAGCCTGGGTTTAGGGTTTAGGGTTTAGGGTTTAGGGTTTCGGGTTTCGGGTTTAGTGTTTAGGGTTTAGGATTAGGGTTTAGGTTTTAGGGTTCAGGTCTTAGGGTTTAGGGTGACCCAAAAAACTCTAAATCCTGCACGCCCAAAGGCCTATACACACCCCAAACCCACACCCCACACCCCACACCCTAAACCCTAAACCCTAAACCCCAAACCCTAAACCCTAAACCCTAAACCCAGCAAAGGAGCCGGCTTCCAACCAAACTTCTGAATGGTGCGCATCGGCATGCTGCTCACGGCAGAGTTCTTCGCAATCCTGGTTGGGGGGCGAGGTCTTTCAGGTTTAGGGTTTAGGGTTTAGGGTTTCGGGTTTCGGGTTTAGGGTCTAAGGGGATTTCTGCTTGAAACCCTGAACCCTAAGCCCGAAACCCTAGAACCGAAACCCTATACCTGCTGCTAAAACTACCCACGAACCTCCAAGCAGGCTGTTGAGGGTCTTCTTGGCGAGCCGAAACTCTGACCCTAAACCCTAAACCCTAAACCCTAAACCCCTTTCAGGGCTCTAGGAACGCCGCCCGAATTGAACGCCTGGACCTTCCTGAAAAGGGTTTAGGGTTTAGGGTTTAGGGTTTAGGGTTTAGGGTTTAGGGTTTAGGGTTTAGGGTTTAGGGTTTAGGGTTTAGGGTTTAGGGTAAGTTTAGGGTTGATGCACCAAGCCCGCAAGAGGGCTGCATTCTTGAAAGATGCTTGCCTACTGCCGATGCATGTGCCACCCTCACCCCCTCTCAGGGGGATGCTGCCGACGTGCTGCCTAGAAGCGTGAACTCCGTCTTCTGAGCGTTCTTGAAGCCCTCCACCCAGTTGATGGCCCAGAAGTCGGAGGCAAGCAAAGGGTGGCAGATGTACTCGTAGGGCATGTAGAAGTAGCCCTTGTCACCCCACCTGAGAAGTAGCAACAGAAATATACAAACCCTGCCACCCTGCCCTAACCCAAACCAAAGCTCAGTCGGGCCGCCCCTCTCCCCAGGAGTTGCGGACGATGAAGCACTGCTGGAAGTCGTCGTAGCCCACGGCGCACACAGCGTGCCCACCCAGCTGCTGGTCGTTCGCCTGGGGCATCACCATCTTGCCAGTCCTGGCGACCTCTGCTGTCTGGAAGCTTGACAGGACAGTAAAGCCGAAGACGAACGGATAGCCGTTCTTGATGCACATTTTCATCTGGCTCAGGTCCTGTGCAACGCGGGCGTAGCCCATGACCTTGCACTTCTGCGCGATCTCGTAGGACCTGGTGTCCGGCTGCTGCTTGAAGAAGTCAGGGCCATCGTCGTACTTCCAGACGCTCTCGGGGCACACGCCCACCTTGGACATGACCTTGATGCCGTCGCGGATCATGGCCCCGGCGTCCTGGTTCACGCTGCCCTCCACCAGGCGCTCGTTGTAGTAGATGAAGAGGCGGCTCGGGGTGAAGTCGGCGAAGTCCTCGCACGAGCCCGAAACCCCTAGCATCCCAAGAACAGCCTCCCTAGATTCTGAGCTCGAGAACCAATCAAGCTAGGCAGCTAGGCACTATGACATCTGTTTTGCTTGCGCAGTATATCTCAGAGTTTCGACCATTTAGGCGTCGTTGTCCAACCCCCATCCTAACACCCTCAACCCTCAACCCTAAAGTCTGAACCCTAACCTCCAGTAAGGTATCCTTGTGGTTCTAAACCCTAAACCCTAAACCCTAAACCCCAAACCCCAAACCCTAAACCCTAAACGCTAAACCCTAAACCCTAAACCCTAAACTCTAAACCCAGGGGTGTCCTTGCCGTTCTCCACCTCCATCTTGTGCAGCGTGAAGTGGAAGGCGGCTGCCAAGGCGTTGGCCGTGCAGCTGCCAAGATGGCCCTGGTTGAAGATGGGGAAGCCACCTGGAACTTCAAAAGGGTTAAGGGTTTAGGGTTTAGGTTTAGGGTTGAGGGTTTAGGGTTTAGGGTTTAGGGTTCAGGGTTCAGGGTTTAGGGCAGCTCTGCACTTTGCGAGCATGCACGGGAGCAAAGGAGGAACAAACAGGGTAGCCTATTTTTGGTTTCAGCGCGTTTTGGACCCTACACCCTAAACCCTAAGCCCTAAGCCCTAGACCCTAAACCCTAAGCCCTAAACCCTAAGCCCTAAGCCCTAAGCCCTAAACCCTAACCCTAAGCCCTAAACCCTAAGCCCTAAGCCCTAAGCCCTAAGCCCTAACCCTAAACCCTAAACCCTAAACCCTAAACCCTAAACCCTAAACCCTAAACCCTAAACCCTAAACCCTAAACCCTAAAGAACAGGAATAAGGGCCGACTCTGGCTCAAAGTGCGAACGCCATGAACGGCCCATCCCCCCTGAAACGGACAAAGCGAAGCAGAGAGTAGGCCGAGAGGCAGGAAAAGGGTTTAGGGTTTAGGGTTTAGGGTTTAGGGTTTAGGGTTTAGGGTTTAGGGTTTAGGGTTTAGGGTTTAGGGTTTAGAGTTTAGGGTTTAGGGTTTAGGGTTTAGGGTTTAGGGTTTAGGGTTTAGGGTTTAGGGTTGAGGGATAAAGTACGTCGCCACACCTCGTCACCTCAGACGCCTAGGGCTTTTAGGATTCTGGGGCTTAGGTTTTAGGGTTTAGGGGTTCAGGGGTTCAGGGTTTAGGGCAGTTTGGGGAAGTGCATGAGACCGAGGTAAGAGCACGACTTGTCACCTCAGACGGCGCCCAAAAACCGCGCATCAGACGATCAAAACCGCGAGCCTCGAAGTGAATCATGCGCCTAAAAACCCTAGACCCTAAACCTCTGTCTCTTGTTCGGGCCTAAACCCTAAACCCTAAACCCTAAACCCTGTAAACAAATTCAATAATAACTTGGAAGCATGGCTTGCGGCGACAGAGCCGAGGATGGGGGCGTTCGGGTTCGCGCCCGTGAGCAAAGGGCTTAGGGTTTAGGGTTTAGGGTTTAGGGTTTAGGGTTTAGGGTTTAGGGCAACCAGAGGCGAACCTTAAGCCGTGAACCCAGCACCCCGGGCCCTAAAACTCCCAATCCCTAAGCCCGAGATGCCTTAAGCACCTCAACCCTAAACCCTAAACCCTAAACCCTAAACCCCAAACCCTAAACCCCCCACCCTAAGCCTAAGCCTTAAGCAGAAGACAGATCACCCTCGAGAGCATGAAGGTACTGAGATCAGCCGCCGTTCATCGGGCGCAGGTCCACGATCTCGTTTGTGCCATCCGCCTTCTTCTTGATCCTTTGTTTGGGGTCTAGGGTCTAGGGTCTAGGGTTTAGGGTTTAGGGTAATGGGTAATGGGTAATGGGTAATGGGTAATGGGTAATGGGTAATGGGTAATGGGTAATGGGTAATGGGCCACTGTGAGCCCAAGGCTTCAGAACCCTCTAAAACAAGTATGGGGCTATGTTCACGACCCTCAACCCTAAACCCTAACCCTGAACCCTAAACCCTAGACTCTAGACCCCAAACCCCAAACCCCATTTAATTTCCCTTACAAGGATTATGGTGGGGAAGTTTAGGGTTTGGGGTTAGAGGGTTTAGGGGGTAGAGGGTTTAGGGGCTTAGGGGCATTCCAGCAAGCCACTCTTGGGGGTTACGATAATCAGGGAACCTAACATAAACCACCAAAACAGTAGGACTCCCTTATCATCAGGACCCAATAAGGTACCCCTAATTTCGTAAGCCCACAGTTCTCAAAGATCAGCCTGAGCTCTAAACACCCTGGGCCTCGCCCTCCGCAAAATTCCAACTGCCCGCCGCAAGCCCTCTAGAGCCTAGACTCCTAGTACCCTCTGGGCCGTAGAAACCGACACAACCCGGAAAACGCCCCAACCCTAAACCCTAAACCCCAAACCCTAAACCCTAAATCCTAAACCCCAAACCCTAAACCCTAAACCCTACAAAACCCTACAAAACCCTACAACCCCCCTTCGGCACTGCCAGGCTTCGAGCTGGGGGCATCCACAGTTGGAAAGGTCATGCGGAGGTCGCGATGATCAGGAAGGTCCTGCTCTGCCAAGAGATGGGGGCAGGCCGTACACCGGTTTAGGGTTTAGGGTTTAGGGTTTAGGGTTTCGGGTTTAGGGTTTAGGGTTTCGGGTTTAGGGGCCCCTAAACCCTAAATACTTGGTAGCCCAGTAACCATATTAGAATAAGGGGTACCCTTGTTCGGGGTTGGTTACTTTAGAAGGGAACCTTGAGCCCAACAGCAAAGAAAAGGGTTCCACTGTTCTACCAAGGATACAGGTAGTATTCAACTCGTCTTGTGCCATTGAAACATCAAGCCTAGAATTTGCCAAACCTTCGACGTTGTTTCGGCTGTCAGCCGCGAGGAGGAATACATGAAAACCCCGTCTGCGACTGCTGTATGGGTTGCTTAGCAGGAGACTCTTATATACCCCGTATATACGCTGTACAAATTAAGGGCCTATGCATCAGAACCCTTTAAAGGAGCCCATGCAACTACCCTTTAATCTGCTGCAGGGTTCAGGATTCAGAGTTCTTTCGGGAGCAAGCTGCAAACGATGCCCTAAACCTCAGGAGGGAAGGAAACCCCAAACCTTAAACCTAAACCATAAACCCCAAACTCAAACCAAACTAAGCCCGGAATAAACCCCTTTCACCCCTAAACCCTAAATCCTAAACCCTAAACCTAAACCCTAAACCCTAAACCCTAAACCCTAAACCCTGAACCCTCCCAAACCCTAAACCCTAAGCCCCCCAGGCCCCCAGCACCGAATTCTTGACAGGTGGCCGGCTTCCAGCCAAACTTCTGCACGGTGCGGCTTTCCATGCCGCTCATGGCGGCATGGCGCTCGACCTGCCAACTTCAGGGGTCGGGCCCTAGTCCCTAAACCCTAAACCCTAAACCCTGAACCCTGCACCCTGCACCCTAAACCCTAAACCTAACCCCTAAACCCTGAGCTTTCAGACCAACTGCCGGGCTGCAAGAATCCTCAACCCCCTCCATGCTGCACCCTTCTTATATAAAAATCACACCGCCGGAATGCACCTCCATCCAGCTCCCCCCAGGTGGCGCCCAAACCCAAACACACGACCCGAAGCCCCATGTCGGTTTCAGGGTTCAGGGTTTAGGGTTTAGGGATCTTACAAGGTTTAGGGGCCGCATGCACCCACCATGATGGTGGTCAGATATGCACTTGCACAAGTCCGAGTTCTTAAATGTCACATGGCGCCCATGGGTTGTGCCTAGGGAGACTTTGGGGTTTGGGGTTTAGGGTTTAGGTTGGAACCCTAAACCCTAAACCCCAAACCCCACACCCTAAACCTCAGGGTTAGGGTTTAGGGAAGAAGCTGCCTCTGATGTCAGACCCCTGGGAGCGAGGTGGTGCCATACTTGCATAGGAGTCGCAGCCGCTGCGTGAGAACACGCCTGAAACCCGAAACCCCAAATCCCAACCCAACGCCAAAAACCCAAAACATCCCAAACCCTAAACCCTAAACCCTAAACCCTAAACCCTAAACCCTAAACCCTAAACCCTAAACCCTAAACCCTAAACCCTAAACCCTAAACCCTAAACCCTAAACCCTAAACCCTAAACCCTAAACCCTAAACCTAAACCCTAAACCCTAAACCCTAAACCCTAAACCCTAAACCCTATGGACAAGAAACCTCCTAAGACGAGCCTTGAACTCACCCACCTGAGCCGGTGCGCTCTCGCAGGCTCCCATATTGCCTCCACACGGAGGACCAACCCTACAAACCCTGGAAACACCCTACAAACAAACCCTGCAAACCCTCTTAGGGTTTAGGGGTTTAGGGTTTAGGGGTTTAGGGTTTGGAGTTTAGGAAGGTGCCCAAGTCCTTCATTCCCTCAGGTGTTCTAGGGATTCGGCATAGGATGAGGCTTTAAGGGGCGACTGATTCGGGCTGGGGTTTGGGGTTTGGTCTTTTGGGTTTAGGGTTTAGGGTCGAGGGTTTAGGGTTTCTTAGGGTGTACTGCGTCAAAAACACGACGTATTAGAAGCGGGGTTTATATTGCTGTTGATAATATTGGTGCGTGTATATAGTTGGTGTCCTATTGGCGATACAAGGAATATAAACCCTAAACCCCAAACACTTCATATACCTCCAGCTGTCCTAATTTTGCCCTACTTATGACGACCCCTGAGTCGACAAGTTTGACTTAGAGCTTAGGCCCAAACCCCTAAACCCTAAATCCTAAGCCCTAAACCCTAAACCCCAAACCCTAAATCCTAACCCCGAACCCCAATCAACCGGAGACCTCTGCGAACTCTCTGGGATGCGGGACTTCATGGTGTTTGGGTTTAAGGTTTTTGGGGTTTGGGGTTTGGGGTTTAGTGTTTCGGTTTTAGGGTTTAGGGTTTTGGGGTTTTGGGTTTGGGGTTTAGGGTGTAGGGTTTTGGGTTTAGGGTTTAGGGTTATGATGGTTAAGGGTTTAGGGTTTTGGAGGCAAATCAGGGGCTAAGGCTCAGATGTACCCTCAACCCTTCTCTACTTCCCCTTAGAACCGAAACAAACACATTCTTACCAGCTCCCTGAGGGCGTTAAACAAACAAAACGAGTACAAACATTATTCCAAGGCAACACACTCTAAACCCTAAACCCATAAACCCATAAACCCTAAACCCTAAACCCTGAACCCTAAACCCCAAGCCCTAAACCCTAAGCCCCAAGCCCTAAGCCCTAAAGCCAAGGCCCTGCCTCACGGGACGGTTGCTTGTAAGCAAGTCTGGGCACGTGTCACAGGGCTCGAGCCAAAGCAAGGGAGCTTCTGGGCCTGGGTGTATTGAGGGCTTGGGGTTTAGGGTTTAGGGCTTGGGGTTTAAGGTTTAGGGTTTAGGGTTTAGGGTTTAGGGTTGAGGGTTGAGGGTTGAGGGTTGAGGGTTGAGGGTTTAGGGTTTAGGGTCTGCGGTTTAGGGTTTAGGGGGGTCTCCGGAGTGGATCTCACAACGCCCCCCTGGCCGGAACACCCGGAGCTCTAAAAACCCCCTGAAGCCCCGAAGTCCCCAAGACTCTCTTGGGTTTAGGGTTTAGGGTTAGGGTTTAGGGTGTAGGGTTTAGGGTTTAGGGTTTAGGGTTTAGGGTTTAGGGTTTAGGGTTCCCTCATACCCCTTTGCCACCTGAGACCATCCCAGTTCCCTAAATCCTAAACCCAAAGCCCGAAACCCTAAATCCTGTACCCCTTGCACTTCTCACCGCGTTCACGTCCCCCTACAACCTTAAAACCCCGCAAGGTTGAAAGCAAGGCGTGACCGTTCTCCTAGGCATTTTGGACTCAGTTCAGATTTAGTCGGGCTCAGGATGAAGTCTCCTGTGCAGTAAGACTCTCTGTTTTGCTATCGCTATACCCTAAACCCTAAACCCTAAACCCTAAACCCTAAACACTAAACCCTAAACTCTCTCTCTCCCTCTCCCTCTTTGCCTGCGCTGAGGCCGTGCTGTGAGGTTTTTATGGTTTCTCAAATCACAGCTTTTTTTGGGTTTTGCGCCGCTGATAGATTTGCCGATCAGGGGCACAAAAAGGAAAGGCCAGAGTGCATGAGCAGACATCTCATCGTATGGCTGCTCCGTTTCCGCAGTTTCTGCTCAAAACCTAAACAAGAGCCTCTGAAGCTCTCCACAGCAAGCTGCTGTACATCGTCATCCCCTCTGCGCTGCGAGGGATGGGTCCCCTCCCCCTGAAAAAAACACACTCTTTAAAACCCTGAATCCCTGAATCCCTAAACCCTAAACCCTAAACCCTAAACCCTAAACCCTAAACCGCAGGGGAAGGTGTACACACTGAGTTTACAGGATCCCGTGCGCAGCTCAGTCCTCTGTCCGGCCAATCACCTTGGAACTCGCGAAGAGGTTTAGGGTTTAGGGTTAGGGTTTAGGGTTTAGGGTTTCGGGCTTAGGGCTTACGGCTTAGGGTCTAGGGCTTAAGGTTTAGGCTTTAGGGTTTACGGTTCAGAGCTTGGGGTTTAAGAGGGTTCAGGGGGCATGTCCACCACAGCAGAAGCCCAAAAGCGGCAACCCAGCCTTTTGAAAAACAAACAAAATGGTGCAAGGCGTTAAACCCTAAACCCTAAACCCTAAACCCCCAACCCTAAACCCTAAACCCTAAATCAAGTGCAACCCGGCTGCAGCTCGTCACTGAAGGAATGCCGAATCAGGAACACATCAACGGACGCCTACTTCTTGACCTTAGCTGCTCTCGAAACTTCCGTGCAGGGTTTAGGGTTCAGGGTTTAGAGTGGAGGGTTGACGGTAGAAGTAGACAGCACTTTTTCAAGAGCGGTCCCAGCGACCGGCTTCGCAGCGGCATTCTTGAAGCCCTCCACCCAGTTGATGGCCCAGAAGTCGGAGGCAAGCGAGGGGTGGCACATGAACTCATAGGGCATGTAGAAGTAACCCTTGTCACCCCACCTGAGATGGATACACCTTATAAACCCCAGGCCCTAGACGCTGAACCCTGAACCCTCAACCCGAAATTTACCCCAAACCCTGAACCCTGAACCCTAGAACCCTAGAACCCTAGAACCCTAGAACCCTAGAACCCTAGAACCCTAGAACCCTAGAACCCTATAACCCTATAGCCTTATAACCCTATAACCCTATAACTCTATAACCCTATAACCCTTAGGGCAACAGAGTTGAGTCCGGCTGCCCCTCTCCCCAGGAGTTGCGCACGATGAAGCACTGCTGGAAGTCGTCGTAGCCTACCGCGCACACGGCATGGCCGCCCAGCTGTTGATCGCCCGGCTGGGGCATCACCATCTTGCCGGTCCTGGCAACCTCCGCTGTCTGGAAGCTTGACAGGACGGCAAAGCCGAAGACGAAGGGGTAGCCGCTCTTGAGGCACATCTTGAACTGGCTCAGGTCCTGTGCAACGCGGGCGTAGCCCATGACCCTGCACTTCTGCGCAATCTCGTAGGACTTGGCGTCCGGCTCCTGCTTGAAGAAGTTGGGGCCATCGTCGTACTTCCAGACGCTCTCGGGGCACACGCCCACCTTGGACATGACCTTGATGCCGTCGCGGATCATGGCCCCGGCGTCCTGGCTCACGCTGCCCTCCACCAGGCGCTCGTTGTAGTAGATGAAGAGGCGGCTCGGGGTGAAGTCCGCGAAATCCTCTAGGTCTAAGCTACTATACCCTAGCCAACTCCCCCCAAAACTCGAAAATTCCGACGTTTGGCTTTCATAGCACCACATTGACATCCCGAGGCCTTTCCAAGAACAAGCTGCAGGGTTTAAGGCGCACATAGAGTTTAGGGTTTTGGGGTTCGGTGCGGGACGCGGGGCTTAGGTTCAACAGCCAGTTCAGGATGGCCTCATAAGGCACCCTTGCTATATCGTATATATGTGCGTATATATATATATGTTTATGTGTTTACTTTTCGAAGATGAGAATATATATATATATATATACATATGGTCCCCCCGCTCCCAATGGACCCACCTCGACAACTAAGACCCCTAGAGAAGGAGGGCCCACAACTTGGATTTCCTTCACCCCAGCCCTCCCGCCCTTACCCCCAATTAGGACGTCCTAAACCCTAAACCCTAAACCCTAAACCCTAAACCCTAAACCCTAAACCCTATAGTCCCAGGGTGTCCTTGTGGTTCTCCACCGTCATCTTGTGCAACGTGAAGTGGAACGCGGCTGCCAAGGCGTTGGCCGTACAGCTACCGAGGTGCCCCTGGTCGAAGATTGGGAAGCCACCTGGACCCCACAAAACTAATTGAAGGGTTCAGGGTTTAAGGTTCAAGGTTTAAGGTTTAGGGTTCAAGGTTTAAAGTTTAAGGTTTCATGTTTAAGGTTTCATGTTTAGGTTTTAAAAGGTTTAGGGTTTAGCGTTTAAGGTTTAAGGTTTAGTGCTAGGGCTGAAGGTTTCATGAGGAGTGACAAGTCAGGTTACAAGTCGTAGGATGACTAGGAAAGCTAGTAGGCCTCCCCTATCTTGCGCATCAGAAGATTTCGCATCAGAAGATGTCGCAAACATCGTAAGGCCACCCCAGTGCCCTCACCAAACGGTGCAGACCCTAGACCCTAGACCCTAAACCCTAAACCCTAAACCCTAAACCCTGGATCCTAGTGGGTGTGGGTGAAGTCCCAACTTTCGTACGGGTCTAGGGTTTAGGGCTTCGACTTAACAAGCCTAAACCCTAAACCCTAGACCCTAGACCCTAAACCCTAAACCCTAAACCCTAAACCCTAAACCCCCCCACCCCCCCCCCCCCCCCCCCCCCCCCTTCTACATCTCCCCGGAAACGCCCCCGCCGTTCAGTGGGCGAAGATCGACGAGCTCCTTGGATCCCTCGGCCTTCTTCTTGATCCTTGCGGATGGGTTTGGGGTTTAGGGTTTGGGGTTTAGGGTTTAGGGTTTAGGGTTTGGGTTTTGGGGTTTGGGGTTTAGGGTTTAGGGGGTTTGGGGTTTGGGGTTTAGGGTTTAGGTTTGGGTTTGGGGTTTGGGTTTGGGGTTTGGGGCTTAGGGTTAGGGTTTGGGTTGGGGTTTAGGGTTTGGGTTTTTAGGGTTTAGGGTTTGGGGGGTTTAGGGTTTAGGGTTTAGGGTTTAGGTTTAGGGGGGTTTAGGGTTTAGGGTTTGGGGTTTGGGGTTTGGGGTTGGGGTTTGGGGTTTGGGGTTTGGGGTTTGGGGTTTGGGGTTTGGGGTTTGGGGTTTGGGGTTTGGGGTTTGGGGTTTGGGGTTTGGGGTTTGGGGTTTGGGGTTTGGGGTTTGGGGTTTGGGGTTTGGGGTTTAGGGTTTGGGGTCCAGGGTTTAGGGTTGAGGGTGCTTAGGGGGATTCAGGTGTTTATCTAGAGGTTTTTTGGGGATTTAGGGTTCTAGGTTTCTAGGGTTTAGGGTTAATTCAGAGCTTAGGGTTTCGGGTTTTGTTAGGGATTGAGATGGGTAGTGGGCATGGGGGCTCAGGGCTTTGCATTGCCTTGCGCGTTTCCAACTTGCGACTCTTCATTGGCCAGGTTTGGCCAGCAAATTGTCCTTGAACCCCTAAACCCTAAACCCTAATTAATCCTAAACCATGAACCCCGAACCCTGAACCACAAGCTACGGAATGTGACATTGCCACGTGCCGAGGCGTCCGACTACCTTGAGGTCCGAGTTGTGGAATTTCTAGAGGCTTTGCTCTTGAGCGCGACGGATTATCGACTCATGTCCCAGACTGGGAGGTTCATAGGCTACTTGATAATTCCGAAAGGGTTTTGGTGGGTTCTTATAGTATACGTATGTAGGGACCATAAGGGAATAGTACCTTTAGTATCTACCCCTGTATTAGTTGCCAGGTTTAGGTTTCGGGTTGAGGGCCTAGGGCTTTGGTCCTTTTCGTGAGCTCCTTCTGTCCCAAACACGGCTAAAGGTATAACTTCCCAAGAACCTTGAAAAACATCACGATCTTCTGGGATGCTCACGGGGGCATTTGGTCTTAGGGCTGACTTTGGTTTGGGGGGTCCCCCTCATATACACCAAACTACGACAATCCTAATGCAGGAAGTCCCCAGCAGGTGCACATAATATCCGGAAACCTCCACATGCGGCCTGCACATGGATACAAGGCCGTTGACGCTGTTGACTCAAGCTGGTGAGTCGGTCTACCCTGGTTTCGGGCTTAGGGCCCTGCAACCCTAAACCCTAAACCCTACACCCTGCCAAACCCTACTATATAAACCCATCAACCCTGCAGCCAACCCTATAAGCGACAAAAAGGCAGTCGGGCGTCTGCTTTGGCGCGTCGACCTTGGGGAAGGTGACGTGGAGGTCACGGTGATCCGGAAGGTCCTGGGTTAAAGGCGCAGCGTGTATAACCTGGTAGTATAGGGGCCTGACATATTAGCTCAGGGTTCTGCAGATGAGCATCTTTGCCTTACTTGTACTTGCCCAAAGCCCCACATAAAACTGCCCATGAACCTCCAAGTACATCGTTCGCCAGGCTCAGTTCGGAACCCCTGCGCTCCTACATACTCAAAGGAAGCAACTGTGGGGCTTTCGCAACTCAACCCTGAGCCCAGAATAAGTTTAGGGCCTAGGGTTTAGAGTAGATTGAAATCATTGAGGGTTCAGGCCCTGCTCATGCCCGCGAAAAAGATTCGAGGAGATTCGTGGAGCTTCGAGGAAAGTTTCGGGTAGTTTCGTGTTCAAGCTGGAGAATAACTTCAAGTCACGGAGGCTTGCGGGTTTAGGGTTGGGATGTTCCCCCGTATATTAGTATACTAATAGTCCTTGATCGGGATCCTAATAGGGGGTACTAGAATCCTTATGAAGGACGACTTGGGTGTAGGGCTTAGACGCGAACCCGGAACCAAAAAGAGCCCTGACACATGTGCATTACAAACACCCTGATCTTTCAACCCCTAAACCCTAAACCCTAACCCTAAACCCTAAACCCTAAACCCCTAAACCCCTAAACCCCTAAACCCCTCAACCCCTAAACCCCTAAACCCCTCAACCCCTAATCCCCTAAACCCCTAAACCCTTAAACCCCTAAAGCCCTAAAACCCTAAACCCCTAAACCCTAAACCCTAAACCCTAAACCCCTAAACCCCTATCCACCGATCTGAACATCCGGCGGAGAGGCCGGCTTCCAGCCGAACTTCTGAATGCTGCGGAGGGGGACGCTCGCCATGGCCGCGTTCTTTGCCACCCTTGGTGGTTCAGGGCTTAGGGTTTAGGGTTTAGGGTTTAGGGTTTAGGGCTTAGGGCTTAGGGCTTGGGATTTGGGGTTTGGGGTTTGCGGTTTGGGGTTTAGGGTTGGGGGTTAGGGTTTGGGGTTTAGGGTTTGGGGTGTAGGATTTGGGGTAACAGCGGTGCGGGAGCCATCGTTCACAAGTGGTGGGTGCCCTAGTCCATGGCTTTAGGGTTTAGGGTTTAGGGCCCCTCAACCTTCGAACACTCACCTCAGTTGCCTCCATAACCTACCAGACGGTCAGTTCTCCAAGTCTTGGGGGAAAGTACCCTCATGAAACTGAAACCCAACCCTAAACCCTAAAACCCGATGAAACCCTAAACCCTGCAACCCAGACACGTGAACTCGGCCTTCTTGGCATTCTTGAAGCCGTCGACCCAGTTGATGGCCCAGAAGTCCATGGCAAGGGAGGGGTGGCAGATGTATTCGTAGGGCATGTAGAAGTAGCCCTTGTCACCCCACCTGGGCAGCAGAGTTATCAGTAGACCCAGGAGTAACCTTGGGATAAAAAGGATGCCCTTTTTGGTTTTTAAGAGGATTATAACGGAACCCCACCTGTGCAGCAGAAAGCGCTACGAATGGGAATCGACAGCGTGCGAAAAGGTTAAAACAAAAAAACAGCAAACATAGCAATGACATAGAAGCTTAAGCAATGATCGAGATAAAGACTTGAAACATAGGGGTTCTAATAGTAACATCGAAATACTGTATATTCGATATATATATATATATATATTTATTTATTTATTTATGTATTTATTTATATGGAAACACAACATCAAAACAACCGGAGCAAGCCTAATCACCATAGCAACAACCGATAAATCAACAATCGAAAAAAATCTTCTTGAACATGCAAGCAATACTGACGATGGAAATAAGTAGCAATGATCGTAATGGTGGTAAGCATAGGAATACGAGTAATTCAGCAGATATAGTAATAACAGTATACTCGTCATAAGACGAATAAATACTAAAATGTATGGTCATAAAGATCAGAATAACAACAGCAATAAGACTCACAACAACGGCATTTCTTAACCTAATTACAAGAACACGAAGAAGCGTGCCAGTGTTAGTGCTAACGGTGCACTTGTGACAGCAGCGATAGTGATAAGAAGAACAATCGTAGTAGAAGTAAGAACCGTGCAAATACCAAGAGCAAAATGCGAACTAGGAATTGGAGCAGCAACTATAGTCATCGCAACAGTATGTTCACAGTGTTTGTAACAATGGACACACATCATGAAGTAGTCATCAATGTACTCGAGAAAACTTGTGACAACCAGGCTGTAAACCCAGACAGTGCTGCAATTTCAGCACGAAATCATGCTTGCTACTGCACGTTGCCACCACGACTTCCCTAAACCCTAAACCCTAAACCCTAAACCCTAAACCCTAAACCCTAAACCCTACACCCTAAACCCTAAACCCTAAACCCTAAACCCTACACCCTAAACCCTAAACCCAAAACCCGCGATTCCGAGCAGAAATGGGCACTGGGCTCAAGCGAGAGGCGACAGCGAGCACGAGCCTACCGAGCCCCTTGTTGCCTACACTCTTCTGTGAGGCTAAGTGTATGGCAAGAAGGGGACATTAGGGTTTAGGGTTTAGGCGGTTTAGGGTTTGGGGTTTGGGGTTTAGGGTTTAGGGACATTAACGTACCCATTTTGAAGGGATAGCGAATGAGGTCTACGGCTGAGGCTTCTAATAAGAAATCTGCCTTTTTCAGCCAGGGTTTCGAAATTTCTTAAAACCCCAAATGGAAATAAGAAAGTTAGGTTTGAACCAGACCCTGAAATATATTTCTTATTCGAGGGTTGATTAGAGGTGAGTATAGGGACAGAGTTGGGCAACATGTAACTCACCAGTGTAGAGCTTTTCGGTGTGCTCTAAGCTCTAAACCCTAAACCCTAAACCCTACCCTAAACCCTAAACCCTAAACCCTAAACCCTAAACCCTAAACGCGGGGAAGAGGCCCGGCACAAAAAGTCACCTTTTTTGGGCCTTTCCGGCCTGAAACACCTCAAAAAAGGTGACTTTTTGTGCCGGGCCTCTTCCCCTGAGCCCTGAGCCCTGAGCCCTTAAAGGCTTCCCCGCAAGAGCCCGGCATCCCCGCAAGAGCCCGGCACAAAAAGTCACCTTTTTTGGGCCTTTCCGGCCCCAAGCACCTCAAAAAAGGTGACTTTTTGTGCCGGGCCTCTTCCCCGCAAGAGCCCGGCACAAAAAGTCACCTTTTTTGGGCCTTTCCGGCCTGAAACACCTCAAAAAAGGTGACTTTTTGTGCCGGGCCTCTTCCCTTAAGCCCTAAGCCCTAAGCCCTAAGCCCTGAGCCCTGAGCTCTGAGCCCTTAAAGGCTTCCCCGCAAGAGCCCGGCATCCCCACAAGAGCCCGGCACAAAAAGTCACCTTTTTTGGGCCTTTCCGGCCTGAAACACCTCAAAAAAGGTGACTTTTTGTGCCGATGAGCCCGGCACAAAAAGTCACCTTCCGGCCTCAAACACCTCAGTTTCTATGGCAATCGCGAAAGAACAGCAAAACCAGGCCCAGAACAACCCCACACAAAATGTAACCGGTGGGGTTCGAGCCCAGGCCCGCCCGACACAAAATGAACCCGGCGGGGTTCGAACTGGTGCCCATTGGCATCAAGGACTGTTGCTTTGCCACTGAGCTATTCGGACTCTGAAACCCTCAAGAGAATGATGTGTATTTACTACTTTGCTACAATGGAAAAGTTTTTGCCGTGAAAGGTGACTTTTTGTGCCTTACCTCTTCCCCGCAAGAGCCCGGCACAAAAAGTCACCTTTTTTGGGCCTTTCCGGCCTGAAACACCTCAAAAAAGGTGACTTTTTGTGCCGGGCCTCTTCCCCTGAGCCCTGAGCCCTGAGCCCTTAAAGGCTTCCCCGCAAGAGCCCGGCATCCCCGCAAGAGCCCGGCACAAAAAGTCACCTTTTTTGGGCCTTTCCGGCCTGAAACACCTCAAAAAAGGTGACTTTTTGTGCCGGGCCTCTTCCCCACAAGAGCCCGGCACAAAAAGTCACCTTTTTTGGGCCTTTCCAGCCTGAAACACCTCAAAAAAGGTGACTTTTTGTGCCGGGCCTCTTCCCCTAAGCCCTAAGCCCTGAGCCCTGAGCCCTGAGCCCTGAGCCCTGAGCCCTGAGCCCTTAAAGGCTTCCCCGCAAGAGCCCGGCATCCCCGCAAGAGCCCGGCATAAAAAGTCACCTTTTTTGGGCCTTTCCGGCCCCAAGCACCTCAAAAAAGGTGACTTTTTGTGCCGGGCCTCTTCCCCGCAAGAGCCCGGCACAAAAAGTCACCTTTTTTGGGCCTTTCCGGCCTGAAACACCTCAAAAAAGGTGACTTTTTGTGCCGGGCCTCTTCTCCGCAAGAGCCCGGCACAAAAAGTCACCTTTTTTGGGCCTTTCCGGCCCCAAGCACCTCAAAAAAGGTGACTTTTTGTGCCGGGCCTCTTTTTGCAGAGGCTTTAGGTTGAGACTACGGGGCTTAAGGGATTAGAGGGTGTTTCTTGGGTTCTTGGTAAATATGACAGAGAACGTTACTTAATACTTCCTCGGCGGAATTTTTTGGGGCGAGCCCGCGAGGCCCTGGATTTTAAAATGTGTGGCCGGTCCAGGTCCAGATTTCTTAATTAATAAAATTTCTTAACACACTCCTGGGCCGTAGGTCCTTCAGGTAAGAATCGCAGTCTTAGAACTGGTCCTACTGTATTGAATCCAGTCTTAGGTTATATGAGGTTAATATAGGGGCCTGAACAATTAGAATAGGGTTTCGGGGGGTTGTTTTTGTATGATTTTTATAGGTACCCTAAGGGAATACTATTAGTAATTATTCCGACCCCTAAATTGGGCGAGCTGCCCCTCGCCCCAGGAGTTGCGCACGATGAAGCACTGCTGGAAGTCGTCGTAGCCCACGGCGCACACAGCATGGCCGCCCAGCTGCTGGTCGTTCGCCTGGGGCATCACCATCTTTCCAGTACTGGCGACCTCTGCGGTCTGGAAACTAGACAGGACGGTAAAGCCGAACACGAACGGGTAGCCGCTCTTGATGCACATTTTCATCTGGCTCAAGTCCTGTGCAACGCGGGCGTAGCCAATGACCTTGCACTTCTGCGCGATCTCGTAGGACCTGGTGTCCGGCTGCTGCTTGAAGAAGTCGGGGCCATCGTCGTACTTCCAAACGCTCTCGGGGCAAACGCCCACCTTGGACATGACCTTGATGCCGTCGCGGATCATGGCCCCGGCGTCCTGGTTCACGCTACCCTCCACCAGGCGCTCGTTGTAGTAGATGAAGAGGCGGCTCGGGGTGAAATCGGCGAAATCCTGCTGCAGCATGGCGCCCGCCCTCATGTCTCGGGTTTGGAAACCTCCTTCCACCCTCAAGATTGGAACCCTTCGGCCCACCCCCCCCCCCCCCCCCCCCCACCAAAAAAACAAAACATTCAAAGACCCACTCAAGCTAGTTCTACGGTTCTACCTGTAAGGTCGATGTTTGGGTGGAGAAGGGCACCTGCACCCCATCCTCTCACAAGTCACCCGGCACCGCATGACCCGATTCAGCGTGCAAGTAACACAACGCTGTGCTTCACGCCGCTATCATCAATCATCACACAACATTTCAACATCCCACAGCTCGCCGCACCACGCGTCACTACACACCACATGACCAAGATGGCGTTGTGCTTGACGGCAGGATGCAATCATCCACCTAAATTGTGGGACAACTAGACGCACAGGATGTTTGCTGATGTCCAAACCAGAATCTAGAATCAGGATAGGATACATGCCTCTTTCTCATCATTCTCTCGGAGGGGCGGGGGGGGGGGGGGGGGCAAGAAGTCGATCTTTGGCCGCATGGGGATGTAGGTGTCTTGCTGTCGTGTGCCCAGGACATCATTCGCGTGGAGTGCGCTGAAGGGTGTCGGAACTGTCTGGGTTTTTTTCTGGCTGTCTGCGTGGTCAGTGTTGATGCTGCTTCTGTGGATTAAGCCTTTCAACCCTGCTATGCTTTGGCGGAATGCCTTGATCCTTGCCTTTCAGTTCTTCCATGCAACCTGAGGGAAGTTCCGGTGTTTAGGGTTAATGGCTAACAGAGATCTTCAGTGCCCTAAACCCTGAACCCTAAACCCTAAACCCAAAACCCTAACGGCTCTGCACCCTGAAGGCCCTAAACCCTAAACCCTAAACCCTAAACCCTAAACCCTAAACCCTAAACCCTAAACCCTAAACCCTAAACCCTAAACCCTAAACCCTAAACCCTAAACCCTAAACCCTAAACCCTACAGCAGGGTGTCCTTGTGGTTCTCGACCTCCATCTTGTGCAGAGTGAAGTGAAAGGCGGCTGCCAGCGCGTTGGCCGTGCAGCTGCCAAGGTGCCCCTGGTTGAAGATGGGGAAGCCACCTCACACTCCACAGCCCTAAACCCTAAACCCTAAACCCTAAACCCTAAACCCTAAACCCTAAACCCTAAACCCTAAACCCTAAACCCTAAACCCTAAACCCTAAACCCCCCTAAAACCCTAAATGCTTGTTTAGGGTCAAGGATTTGCGTAGCTTCGGTTTGGTCGGGATGTAGGGCTTCGTAAAAAGGACCGTGAAGCCTAGAAACTTAAGCTTTGCCCTACACACTAAACCCTAAATCCTAAACCCTAAAGCCGCAGGGTCAGGGAAGTCTCATAGGGCTGTTTTGGGGCGACTTAGATATATAGAGTGACTGTAGACGGTACACCTTGGGGCTAATTTCGGGAGTCCGAAAGAGGAGTCCTCCCCCCCAAAGGTTTATGGTTTAGGGTTTAGGTCCAGGGTTTAGGGTATGAAGCCTTCTGTCTTATCTGGGGTCCTAAGTGGGAGGTTGGGCGAAGTGCGCGAACCCCACCCCTCCCCCCGAACCCCCAAATCTAAACTGCTGCTATGCCGCCGTTCATGGGGCGGAGGTCTACGATCTCGTTGGCTCCATCCGCCTTCTTCTTAATCCTGGGCATTGCTAACTTCAAGTTTCGAGTTCATAGGGTGTAGTCCTATGTGGCCTTGACCACAGACGTCCTACTTCACCCTCTTATGTCCCCGGGCGTCTTGATGCTCACCCTCGGGCCTGACGGCTTTCGGACGTCTCAAAGGGGGTCGCCTAGGGTCGCCTAGCTTTTGCAGTTGACGATGACCACCTTAGGGCCCTGCAAGGGACAATTCGTGCCACCGAACACCGAACTACCCCGAAACCTCAAGCCTTTGCTCCCCAGCCCTGTCGACGAACCGAAACTCCAAAATCGAGGGCTTGTGCCAAAGCCCGAAGCCCCACACGACCTTCACCTGCCAGGAATCGAGCTCGGTGCATCCACCGTGGGGAAGGTGACGTGGAGGTCGCGGTGATCGGGGAAGTCCTAGGTTTAGGGTTTAGGGTTTAGGGTTTAGGGTTTAGGGTTTAGGGTTTAGGGTGCTCCAGCAATGGTATGTGAGGCTCCCTGGACTACGTAGTGCCTTTTGCAAGCAGCGACCCAAACCACCCTGGCGTTTCATCTAAACCCTAAACCCTAAACCCTAAACCCTAAACCCTAAACCCTAAACCCTAAACCCTAAACCCTAAACCCTAAACCCTAAACCCTAAACCCTAAACCCTAAACCCAAGGTGCCCAGGTGCCCCGAACCGTTTTCCGACAGGTGGCCGGCTTCCAGCCATACTTCTGCACGGTGCGGCTGTCCATGCCAGTCATGGCCGGATGCCGCTCCACCTGCGTAGGGATTAGGGTTCAGGGTTTAGGGTTTATGGTTTAGGGTTTAGGATTTAGGGTGTAGGGTTTAGGGTGTAGGGGCCTGGATAATTAAAGGAATAGGGTTTTTGGGGGCTGCTAGACTGCTAGAGTATGAATGTTCTAGGGGCCACAGGGGAACACTATTCGTAAATTACTCCGACACTCACATTCGACATTGCATGTCGAAGTCTTAAGGAGTTTAGGGGTACAGGGGCTTAACCCCCTGCACCCCTAAAACCCCCTCAACCCCTGGGGCCTCAAAGGCCTAAATCCCTAAAGCCCTAAACCCACAGACCTTTTAGGGTTTAGGGTTTAGGGTTTAGGGTTTAGGGTTTAGGGTTTAGGGTTTAGGGTTTAGGGTTTAGGGTTTAGGGTTTAGGGTTTAGGGTTTAGGGTTTAGGGTTTAGGGTTTAGGGTACCTTGGTTTAGGGCTTTGGCGGCTGGAAGCCTTTGGCTGCTCCGGTGTCCAGGGGTCACGCGGACTTGGTCGGGCTCGAAGCCCCTTAACCCTAAACCTGCATATCTAGTGGTTCTACCTTGGACACTTAAGATTTTCCCCTTGGGTTTTGGTGTCCCTTTTGAAGGATCCATAAGGGAAGATCGGGGTCATGTTAGGAGTTTGTTAAGGGTTTAGGGTTTAGGGTTAAGGGGAAGGGTACGAGCCTTCATCCCTTCAGCAAATCCCGAACCCGAAACCTCCTGAGCCGAACTTTAGGGTTTGGGGTTTGGGGTTTAGGGTTTAAGGTTCAGGTTTTTTGGGTTCAGGGTTTAGGGTTTAGGTTTAAGGTTCAGGTGTACGGTTTAGGGCGTAGGGCCCGGTTTGGCAGATGCAAGGTATGAAAAGCAGAGCAGTACGGGGGTTGAACGCCCCGCCCTGAAAAAGCGTTGCGCAGCGGCCTCGACAGGCTTCCAACCCCCAAAAACTCTCCCTAAACCCTCAAGCCCAACCCCCCCAAACCCTCTCGCAAAACCATCTCAAAACCCTGGCATGCAAATGTCCACATGGAGCAATTGAGCCCCATCGAACGCCACGCTACTTATGAGGCAGCGCAAAATTGAAACGCGAAGACACCCAGTCCCTGCAGCTGAGGGCGGCGCAGGCAAACAAACCAACCCTACTATTGAGGGCAGTGCAAACCTAGGACTGGGAGTGCAACACATTGGTCATGGCAGGTGCGAGGTGTGAAGAGGGCGCCCAGGTCATGTGAAAAACCCTCAGAACCCTAAACTCAACCTCCCACCCCCCCCCCCCAACGGGACAAAAATATAGGGTTCAGTTTAGGGTTTAGGGTTTAGGGTTTAGGGTTTAGGGTTTAGGGTTTAGGGTTTAGGGTTTAGGGTTTAGGGTTTAGGGGTTAGGGTTTAGGGTTTAGGGTTTAGGGTTTAGGGTTTAGGGTTTAGGGTTTAGGGTTTAGGGTTTAGGGTTTAGGGTTTAGGGTTTAGGGTTTAGGGTTTAGGGGTTAGGATTTACGGGTTAGGGGTTAGGGGTTAGGGGTTAGGGTTTAGGGTTTAGGGTTTAGGGTTTAGGGCGTCTCGCCGCGCAGCGGCAGTAAGTGCCATGTGTAAATGGCGCCCCTACACACCCAGGGGGTGTGGGGGGGCGGCGTGTCACGCGAAGGCATCTGTTTTCAATGCAATCCAACAATTTTCATTGGTGCTGGTTCCTTTCTCCCGCCCGCTGTGAGCTTTCACAGGCCACCACCCAAACCACTGCCTTTTAGGGTTTAGGGCTGTCGCCCTCAATTCCCCACCATCACTTCACATCAGGGCAGGGCCAGGGTTGGGGGAGCCAGGCCAGGGGGGGTCAGAGAGGGGTGGCCAGGCTACCAGGGAGGTAGGCGGGTCAAAAACGAGCCTTTTTTGGCTCTGCGGGGGTACCCCCCCCCAGTACCCCCCCAGGGAAACGTCGACCGAAGGATTCCGGCCCAGGCTTTAGGGTATTCTCATCAAAAGGTTTGTAAATGTAAGGCACCACTTTACTGTCCTAAAGCAAGGCTCCACTCTCCAACGGCTCCACCCACTGTCCATCCAGTAAAGGTGTATCTCGCTGCCGGGTATAATTCTGGGTCCAGGCACCCTAGTATAGGCCGGTGGGAATTTAGGGTTTAGGGTTTAGGGTTTAGGGTTTAGGGTTTTCGGGTTTGGGGTTTAGGGTTTCAAAGGAAACTCTCAGAAGCATCCTCTAAAAACGTTCAAAAGCCCGCCGGCCTTGAACTCCCCGGCCTGCACCGGTGCACTCTCGCAGGCTCCCATGCTGCCTCGGGGATTTAGGGTTTTGGGTTTAGGTTCAGGGTTTAGGGTTTAGGGTTTAGGGTTTAGTGTTTAGGGTTTAGGGTTTAGGGTTCGGGGTTTGGGGTTTGGGGCTTGGGGTTTGGGGTTTGGGGTTTGGGGTTTGGGGTTTGGGGATTTTCTTCTGGCTAGCCCAGTAACCATCTTACCTAGACCCAGGAGTAACTTAGGAGAAAAAAAGGGGTACCCATTTTGGCTTCAAGACGGGGTTATAAGGGAACAGGAGTAACCTAGGAGAAAAAAGGGTACCCTTTTTGGCTTCAAAAGTGGGTGATGAGGGAACAGGAGTAACCTAGGACAAAAAAAGGTGCGCCCTTTTTGGTTTTAAGGGGGGTATAAGGGAACAGGAGTAACCTAGGAGAAAAAAGAGAAGTGCCCATTTTGGTTTTACGAGGGTTATAAGGGAACAGGAGTAACCTAGGAGAGAAAAAAGGGCACCCTTTTTGGTTCTAAGGGGGGTTCTAAGGGAACCCCAGCCCCGAAACAAAGGAAATAAGTGCCTGCTCCGGGTCCTAGTTATAATGAGGGTGCCCTTTCGGTTGGTTACATTGCTTGATAAGGGAATCCAGACCCTAAACCCTAAACCCTAAACCCTAAACCCTAAACTCCAAACCCTAAACCCTAAGAAAAGGGTGGGCCACCAGGTTTCTAGGAGATTAGGGGTATGGGGCGCCGGGCTTTGGAGGGCTGGAGGGCTTAGGGGTTTAGGGTTTAGGGCTAAGGGTTTAGGGTTTAGGGTTTAGGGTTTTAGGGCTGAGGGGTTCTGACTTCGAGGTTTTGGGGGGTTGAGAGCACCCAAGGTTGGCTTCATGCCATGCCCCCTGTAGCTTGTCATGTAGAGACTGCTCCCAGCTCCAGGAACAGGCGTCTGCAACTATCGACCACACCACTGAGCTCGTGTCTAGGGTTTAGGGTTTAGGGTTTAGGGTTTAGGGTTTAGGGTTTAGGGTTTAGGGTTTAGGGTTTAGGACTTGGGGCTTGTCATTGAACTCCCGGCTCAAGTCTTGCCGTCCGCTCGCAGAGGTTTGCGGCTGTTTGCGGCGCTCACCGAAAGAATCCTAAACCCTAAACCCTAAACCCTAAACCCTAAACCCTAAACCCTAAACCCTAAACCCTAAACCCTAAACCCTAAACCCTAAACCCTAAACCCTAAACCTTTCGCCTGAAAGTGAAAGCCGCTGGCGGCCGGCGTATGTCGAAATGCGGCTGGGGGTCTAGGATGCTGGGGTTTTGGGTTTTGGGTTGATACCCTAAACCCTAAACCCTGAACCCTAAACCCTAAACCCTAAACCCTAAACCCTAAGCCGGTGAACTAAATGCCTCAACTCGGTCATCCGCATCCCCGGGCCATGCAGCCGAAGCTTACCTGAAAAACCCTCATTAGAGACTGGGATGGCCCCCTTAAATTCTGTAAAAACGAGTCCGAAAGATGATCCTCTTCAACCATAATACAGATATATGTATACAAAAGACTATATGAATAGATATATAGTGTATATATATATATATATATGTACAATATATATATATATATATATATATATATAATATGGGTAAAAATGAAGTGCCCCAAGACCCTAACTAAACCGCAAATCCTGCGTGAATCCTACACCCTAATGACCCTCATGATATCCTAAATCCTAAACCTAAACCCTAAACCCTAACCCTAACCCCTGATAGATTGAAGCCCAGATTCTGTCTACTTCGCCGGAAGCTTTGCTTGGACACTCGGGGAGGGCGCTTGGCGCGGTGAATCTTGGGCCGAGGAAGGGGGGCGGTTCCATAAATGATCCCATTTGGGGCCGAACATTCGGGGTTTAGGGTTTAGGGTTTAGGGTTTCGGGTTTCGGGTTTAGGGTTTAGGGGCCTGGGGCATCTCTGGGGTTGGGACCCTGAACGATCAAGAGGAACAGGAACTTCGGATGTCTGCGCATTGGGGGATGTCGGCGGATTGCGTCAAGAAAAACCTCACCCCCAACAACTGCTTAAATCGAACATCCCCAGCCCAACACTGAGCAACTTGACCGGCACTGTCGGAGGCGGGATACTCGGGATTGGCCAGTCCAGGGATACTCTGCAGGATGGTTTGGGCATCAGGGAACACGAGGGGGACGTTTTTCCCCGTCGCTCGCCGCAGGAGGGTCGGTCGCCTAACACGGCCCGGACCAGCGTTTCGGGTCCTCGGGTTTCGTGTTTCGGGGTCTCAGGCACAGATTGGGGTGTCGAGCTCGGGTTTCAGGGTTTTAGGGCTGGAGTGACGGTGGCTGAGTGGTGCCGCTTACTCCAGACTTCACTGAGAGGCATGGCCGCTAAAGCTCACTGTCATCCTGCACAGCTTTCATCACTGGGATGCAGAACCAAGGAGTGCAAGTCAGGATCATCACAGGCCATTCACTTCTTGAAGCCCTTTGCTGCCGCGTTCTTGAATCCCTCCACCCAGTTGATGGCCCAGAAGTCGGAGGCCAGGGCAGGGTGGCACATGTACTCGTAGGGCATGTAGAAGTAGCCCTTGTCACCCCACCTGAGAGTCAATTCAAGGACTCTCAGCAGAGCTTCTGGGATCTAAGCCTAAACAGGACACCCGAACACGCACACGGCCAGTTGGGATCAGGCGGGGGGCCCCTCTCCCCAGGAGTTGCGGACGATGAAGCACTGCTGGAAGTCGTCGTAGCCCACGGCGCACACGGCATGACCGCCTAGCTGCTGATCAGTCGCCTGGGGCATCACCATCTTGCCTGTCCTGGCAACCTCCGCTGTCTGGAAGCTTGACAGGACGGCAAAGCCGAAGACGAACGGGTAGCCGCTCTTGATGCACATCTTGAACTGGCTCAGGTCCTGTGCAACGCGGGCGTAGCCCATGACCCTGCACTTCTGCGCGACCTCGTAGGCCTTGGCGTCCGGCTGCTGCTTGAAGAAATCGGGGCCATCGTCGTACTTCCAAACGCTCTCGGGGCAAACGCCCACCTTGGACATGACCTTGATGCCGTCACGGATCATGGCCCCGGCGTCCTGGTTCACGCTGCCCTCCACCAGGCGCTCGTTGTAGTAGATGAAGAGGCGGCTCGGGGTGAAGTCGGCGAAGTCCTCTGGCGCTTTCGTTTAAAGCGAAATTGTTTTGTAGCATCCCATCGACATTTTGAGGATTTCAAACAACCCCTCCCCCCAACCGCCTCGCACCCTCGCCTCCCCTCCCCCCTACCTCCCTCCACCACCCTCTGCACCTCCACCCCAAACCCTGAACCCTAAACCCTGAACCTCCTGTGGATTTCCTTGAGCCCTAAACCCTAAACCCATGTCCTTGTGGTTCTCAACCTCCATCTTGTGCAACGTGAAATGAAAGGCAGCTGCCAAGGCGTTAGCTGTACAACTCCCGAGATGGCCCTGGTCGAAGATGGGGAACCCGCCTGGAGCTTCAAAACGATTTGGGGTTGAGGGTTTAGGGTTTGGGGTCTGGGGTTTAGGATTTAGGGTTTAGGGCTTGGGGTTTAGGGTTTGGGTTTACGGTTTGGGGGTTAGGGTTTGGGGTTGGTTTGGGTTCGCACTCCCGTGCGGCCCATACTTCAGAAGCCTTGAAAGAAGGTAAGGAACCACATTCAGGGGGCCATGTAAACCCTAAACCCTAAACCCTACTATCCCTAAACCCTACTATCCCTAAACCCTAAACCCTAAACCCTAAACCCTAAACCCTAAACCCTAAACCCTCCTCCCTCAAAGGACCATCTTGCGGCTCAGCCGCCGTTCAGCGGCCGGAGGTCGACCAACTCCTTCTGCCCTTCCCCCTTCTTCTTGATCCTCGGATCTTGGTGGCGTCTCTTTGACCCTAAACCCTAAACCCTAAACCCTAAACCCTAAACCCTAAACCCTAAACCCTAAACCCTAAACCCTAAACCCTAAACCCTAAACCTAAGCCCTCAACGAAGGGTTCCCCAGCTCCAAGTTGAGCGTCGTGCTTGGCGCCTGCGTTTCCGGGAAGCGCACGTGCAAATCGCGGTGGTCCGGGAGATCCTTGGGTCTTACGGCTTAGGGTTTTTAGGGTTTAGGGTTTAGGGTTTAGGGTTTAGGGTTTAGGGTTTAGGGTTTAGGGTTTAGGGTTTAGGGTTTAGGGTTTGGGGTTTAGGGTTTAGGGCTTAGGGATAGTAGGGTTTAGGGTGTTTAGAGCCTTTACGGTTTAGGGTTTAGGGTTGAGGGTTGGAATACTCCCCCCTATGCTAACAGTCCTTCATAGGGATTATAATGGGGGGTACTATGATACCTCCCAATATTAAGGACTGCTAGTCTAGTTCATGGTTGGGATAGTCTTAGAACTTTGCAAATATATATATATATATATATATACATATAACTTATTGGGTTTAAGTACCCTTACAAATGTAAAATGCTACCCAACTAGGACAAGGTTTAGGGTTTAGTTAAACGCTTTTAGGGTTTAGGGGTCTCGGGCTCTTTGGGCTCAGCGTGGCACCGAGGTTGCAGGCGCCTAGCTCACCCAGGGTTTAGGGTTTAGGGCTCAGGGCTTAGGGCTTAGGGCGGGTTTGGGGTTTAGGGTTTAGGGTTTAGGGTTTAGGGTTTAGGGTTTAGGGTTTAGGATAAGTTCACCAGGTCAGCTCAGGCCAGTTTTGCCCTTAGGGCTCTTCGTGTTTGGTAAGCATTGGCTGCGTAAGATTCCTATACCCTGAGCCCTGGACCCTAAACCCTAAACCCTAAACCCTAAACCCTAAACCCTAAACCCTGAACCCTGAACCCTAAACCCTGAACCCTAAGCCCTGAAACCTAAACCCTGAACCCTAAGCCGTCAGACGTGCAGAAAGTGCACAGCAATCGGCCGTTCTTCTAAACCTGTTGTGCGTTTCCTTAATCCCTAAACCCTAAACCCTAACCCCTAACCCCTAAACTCTAAACCCTAAACCCTCCGCCAGTTCGGCTGCGACGCAGGCTTCCAGCCATACTTCTGCACGGTGCGCTTCTGGATGCTGTTCATGGCAGGATGCTTCTCAACCTGGCATCAGAGATGTTGTGTTCTCAGTCGCCAGGTTTAGGTTTAGGGCGGCAGGATTGCGAAAATTGCTCATGAGGCTGGTAACGCGAAAAACCAACGTGAACCTTCTAGACCAAGGTCATAGGTTGGGTGGAGGGGGCGTGAACCTTGGCGCGCACCACAGCACACATCCCCAATGGGTGGTGTGCGCGGAACGTGACGCCCTAAACCCCAAACCCCAAACCCCAAACCCTAACCCCTAACCCTAGGCGGCATCTCACGAGCTCTTTGGTGAGAAGCCCCTGTTTCAGAAAGCCGGGAATCCTGGACACCGAGGGGCCCTGGAAGGTACCCGTGGACGAACAAAGCTTAGGGGTTTAAGGTCTTTCGGGATTTCTAGGGAACTTCAACCCCCCCCCCTCCAAAAAAAAAGAAGAAAAAACAAGAAAACTGAATATATGAAATAGAAGAGGAACCCCAAAGTGCCGACATGCGCCCATCTGCTCAAGGGGTGCACTATGTTGTCAGGGCTTGGCCCTCATCCCTAAGCCTACATCCTCAGCGCCAGGACCTTAACCCTAAGCCCGATTATAACCTTTCAACCCAGGTCGTCCATAAGAAGGAGGTTCAGGGTTTCGGGTCCCCGAACCTACTAAACCCAGAGCCGAAAACCATAAACAACTAAATTGAAGTCGCCCGAGCGCACCTTGATTTCTGCCCCCGTCTTGGGCGTGCTCTCGCAGCCTCCCATGGTCCTGTTGGGCTGCGGAGTCTTTCAGGCGGTTTAGGGTTTAGGGTATGGGGTTTAGGCTTTAGGCTTTAGGGTTTAGGGTTTAGGGTTTCTTCTTGCATTTCCCATACAACACTTACGATTGCAAGAGATCAGACCAGAAGCTAACGAACAGCGAGAAATACCCTGAGCCAATCGAGGGAACATATGAGACGAACCGACGCAATAGTAAAATTGATGTAGTATTTCAAGTGGCAGGATGCAAATGAAATCTTGCAGAAGGAAGACGTAGCTGAACAAGGAAGCGCACGAAATGGCCTCTTTGTACCTTGATGAGATTCAAAACTCCAAACTCACTTGAGTGCAGCTTGACACCCCTGAAGCCTAAACACAAGGCCGACACCCTTGAAGGCCCGCCCAGAACCATCCATCTTGAGAACGAGGGTACACCAGGGAACATTGAAGGCCCCAAACCCTAAACCCTAAACCGCCTGAAGGACCCCATAAGTCTTCCAACCTTGTGAAGTCGGCCGACCGGGGAAAACGTGGAGGACGAGAGTGGAGAGCTCTAGCCCCAGCGGCGGCGTTTGTGTAGGCATTTAGGTTTGCGGGGTTTAGTAGGGTTCAGGGTTTGAACCCGTAAGGGTTCGGGTATAGGGTTTAGGCTGTTGGGTTGGAGGGCTCATGCCCCCAAACTTGAAAAAACAACAAAGGACAACAAGCAACACCCACACGTAAACCCTAAGCCCTATACTGAGCCCTGGGTTTTGAGGGTTTAGGGTTCTTAGGGTGGAAGGGTGCTGAGGTTTAGGGTGTTCAGCTCTAAGCACTTCATCGTGACACGATCGATAATGAGAACAACGCTGCACGTCAGGGCGGGGGGGACTCATGATTACTCCTCCAAACTCCAGAACCACAGGCCCGGCCAGCTTTTGCCGTGAGGCTCCAGTTTCATTCACGCTTGCGCAGTCGGTAAGTCCACTTGAGACTAGGGGGTGAGATGGAGCCATGCGGTGGCTAAGGAGCCAGAATTTCGATTTCACATAGTTCAAAGTTCAGGGCTCTTGTGGGGGCACCGCATGCTGGGTGGAAAGGTTTGTGGGGTGGGGAGGGCTTGGGGTGGAGGGCAGTTTGGGGTGGAGGGCTTGAGCTTTTAAATTCAAGTGAAACATGAGTGGTGACGTCACCCAGGTTGCCAGCTGCGCCCATGTGCCTGTTGCAGGTGTCAAGCCTTCCCCTCCATTCAGGCTAAGCCTAAAACCCTTGCCCCAAAACCTAAGCCCCAAACCCTCAATCCTAAGCCCTAAACCCTATAAATAACCCTATAAATACCCTACAAGCCTTCAAGGGCTTGGGTTTCCCAAGATGCTGGAAAGGCCATCGTCCATCAAGCCGAACTTTCGCTCAGCTTCCAGAATAAGGAGCCGCACAGTAGATGTACATAGATGCAATGAAGCAGAATATGATAAGTATAGTACTACATCAAGCTGTTGGCAGGGAGCAAGGCAACCTGACTCATCAACCTACGAAGCCTCGACCAGAAAAAAAAAAAAGCCGCCTGCAGGGAAGGCCCCGGGGTCACTGCTGGAATGTTGATATCCTGGCGACGGCCCGGCCGGGTTCCCTCAAGCCCAAACCCTAAACCCTAAACCCCAAACCCTAAACCCTAATCCCTAAACCCTAAACCCTAAACCCGGTAGCCCTTAGGGTTCAGGGGGGCCATGGGCAATGAGGCAACAACTGGACTGTTAAGTAGGAACCTTCAAGCAGGATTTACAGTTGAGGGTGCTCGGGGCCTGTACTGCTTTTTTTGGTGTGTGTTTTTTAGGATTTAGGGTTTAGGGTTTAGGATGTAGGGTTTAGGGTTTAGGGTTTAGGGTTGAGGGGAGTTCAAAGGCTCCAGTTCGGGGTGCGCAGAGGGATTTCCGTGCCCCACGGGACAGCGATCGAACTACTCCATGGCCGATGAACCTACAAGTGGGTTTAGGGTTTAGGGTTTAGGGTTTAGGGTTTAGGGTTTAGGGTTTAGGGTTTAGGGTTTAGGGTTTAGGGTTCAACTCGGCTGCTGTTCAACGAGCTTAAACAAAGCTGCGCCCTGAGCAGGGACCCTTTTTTGTCAAAACCCCACACCCTAAACCTATACTAAGTTACCCTAGCAAGGATATGATATGAACATAGCTCCGATTTCCATGTTCTAGCGACATTAGCTGCTTAGACTCGGTAGCCTAGTAGCCATACTATAACAAGGGCACCTTTTTGGGGGTTGGCTGCTTTTTTTAAAGGGAACCTTGAACCAACTCAACGTGAAAAGGGTACCGCTGGGCTACCAAGTACCCCTAAACCCTAAACCCTAAACCCTAAACCCTAAACCCTAAACCTGAAGAAAGCCCCATCCGAGGTCGAAGTTGTGAAGGTGGACATCGCGCGGCCGAACTTGCTTAAGGGGGGCTACGAAGTAAAACCCTTGGGCAACAAGTACATATCGACACGCCATAGTACAGCTGGCATGTCAAAGCAAACTTTCAACCTTACCATGAGTACAGGCATGGTCGAAGTTGTCGTATGCATACAGGTTCTGCTGTTGCAAGCGAGAAAAACAGGTGCACTCCGCACGTATGTGAGCCATGGCCCGGCATTTCAGTGATGAGTTGGGACCTGTGCCACAACAGGTTATGACAGCCCAATCGGGTGTTGGTGGTGGCGAAGCTACCCCTCAGAATTCGATGATCAATGGCACAGCTGATTTGGTTCCACAGCCCCAGGCGCAGCAAGGCGACCGGCAATCAGTGCAAGAGAGCAATCAGCGTGAGCAGACTCCAGTGGGGTCTGGTGCCATTGAGCCAAAGGGCGGCGAGTCCTATGGTGCCACTCGGGAAGAACCAAGACCAGTGGGCCAGCAGATGGATAGAGAGCAGTCGATGTCTTCTGCTAGCAACCAAGTGCTGGATGGAGTTGAATCCCAGTTGGGGCAGGTTGGGCCTAATCAGAGGCCAACGATCCTGGCTGGAGACAACACTGCAGGCTATGGAATGGATGCAGCAGAGGCAGCTGTCTCGTCGTCGGCGCAACCTGGTTACTACACACCGAGGTCTAACGGATCAATGGCAAGTTCGAGGCCTCAGTGGATACAAGGCTTGGAGCTTCCGGGGTGGGTTACAAGGCTTGGGTCCTACCTAAGTGTTCCACCAAGACCGGAGTTGCTACCGAGTCCGTTAGCGGGGAGTTCTACGAGTACAAGTCCGCTTAGGGATCGTGTGGTGATGATGACACAAGGTGGAAGGCGCTTGGTGGATAGGACCCAACCGCCACCATCGCCCCCGACTTCATCGAGTCTCCCAGCTGAAGCGATTCAGGCAGAAGTCCAGAGGCAACTTGGAGATCTCTTAGGCAGGCTTCAGAGCGTGGAGCAGGACCGCGACCGCCTCAAGGAAGAGCTGCGAAGAGAAAGAACGAAGCCAGGAGCCACCTCGTGGTCACCATGGGTGCCTTCATCTGGTGAACTTCGGCAAGGCCCAGCTCTACCAGGACTAGTCGGTGTACCTTCAGGAGATCCTCCGAACCTATTAAGGGGTGGTGCCCTATTCCCAAGTCCGACAGAACGACTTCCCGACTATGCTGGTTCGAGCCATCAACCTGTGTTTGGAGAAGGTCAGGAACCCACTAGACAACCTCAGGCATCCCTTCACCCTCAAGACACTGAACCTGGTGAAGCTAATGGCGGAGGGGAATACGGACAACAGAGTGGTGGAACTTCGACGACAACAATGCCAGTGTTTGGTCCTGGGCCTAGTCGAACCGGAGCAGGTGAAGAGCGATCTGGCTTGTTGAGGTCGATACTGGGTCCAAGGGTAAGAACTCCATCACCCCCACCCCCTTCGAGGCCGTCTACGGAGTCTTCAATCCTGGAAGTGTTGACAAAGGGGGTGCAACAGCTGCAGGAACTACAGGCCCAAGCTCTCTCTAAGGGAGAATCACCCCAAGCCATCGAGGTCGTCAAGCCGGGAACGGTAGCGCTGCCTCAGATGCCTGAACTCAAGAAGGGTGATGCAGCTGGATCAGCTCTTAAGTTCCAGGACTGGCTGGAGGTCTCGAGCTCCATTTTGGCTGATGTGTCCGAGCACAGTGGTCAGTGGTGGGAACAGGTCCTTCAGCTGGTGGGAAGCACGTATGCTAAGTGGCTCGCAGCCACGCCTTTGGAGCGACTACAAATCACTCCGGTCGGGGAGGCATCGCTGTGCTCAGGTCGCTGGATCCGTGTCAATGCGAGAATAGCCTCAATGCTGTTGGCCTCAATGGGAGATGAGCTGAAGGCTGATGCTGTCGCATTGAGGATCACCCAGAGCGTTCCAAGGATGGTCTTCCGGATGTACTCGATGTTTCAGCCAGGAGGAAGCGCAGAGCGGCACGATCTACTCCAACGACTACAATCTCCAGGTGACACCATGGGAAGCGACTCGTTGGAGGATACACTCAGAGTGCTGCAGGCATGGCCAAGGTGGGTTGCGAGGTGTATATCCATGAAAATGTCACCTCCGGATCCTCAGGTCTTAGCTCGGGGCCTCATGAGTTTGACGAGTCATCATATCAACTCGTCACCGGATGCTGCCTTCAGGACGTCGATGCTGAGAACGACATTGAGGTTGGATGCCCAACCAGACCTGGACCAGGTGATCTCGTACCAACGCCATCTTCAGGCTGAGTTGGAGACGATGGTGAACTCAGGATCAATGGGAATGCCATCAACTACTGCCCCTTCCTCGGGGCCCAAGGTCAAGGCTGCTGAGGTCACCAGTCCACCTCGCAAAGATCGATCCACCGATCCCTGCAAGTACTTCGCCAAGCCGGGAGGTTGCAAAAGAGGACTGAAGTGTGGGTTCTCGCATAGCATGGCTGGAATGGACAGGGAGACAAGGTCTAGGAAATGCCTGCAGTGCGGATCGGAATCACACAGGCAGAAAGACTGTGTGGTCAACAAGCCGAGAGCGCCCCCAACATCTTCGGCTACCTCGTCCCCTACGACTAACAGGAGCGACAAGGCAACGACATCCTCTTCGCAGGCTCCTTCGGTGGCGGCTCGTCAGGTGTCTACCACTTCTGGAGTTGGTGATCAAGGTGTGGTTCCTGGAGTACCATGGACCCTGGAATCTTTGATTCAGGCAACGCAGCAGTTTGTCCAGGCCCAACCAACCTCGAACCAGGATGAACGACCTTCCTCACCCGAGAAGACCGGCGCAACGATAAAAACCGTCATCCTCAAGGACCTCAGAGTGAGTGGGTCAGCAACAACGACTGCCCTGCTCGATTCCGGAGCAACTCATTCGTTGAGGAGTGCAAGGTCCCAGGAGGAGTGGCAGCAAGGAGAGAAGGTCATGGTTCAATTGGCGGGAGATAGTCAGCTGCAAATGAAGATCGGTGAGGGTGGCTCTCTTCTGATGCCCCCGTTGTCGCATACCGGGCAGAAACCATCGCAGACAATAGTCCCACTGGGCGAACTGGTGAAAACACTGGGGTATACCCTAGTGTGGACACCGACCAAGTGCATCCTTGAGGACAAGAATGGACATCGGATTCCGCTGAATACGAGTACGGGATGTCCACAGATATGCGAGGCAGAAGCGTTGGCGATGATAGCGAGGCTGGAGGAGCGAAAGTTGGAGCAGTTGGAAAATGCTGCTCTGACTACCGAGGATCGAATCTCTGTGGCGGCAATGGCGCTGCAGAAGTCGTGGTTTGATCGCTTGATAAGCTATGCAGCCGAAGGAGGTCATGAAGCGAAGGAGATGGGTCTCAGGGCATTGCGAGATGCCCCCTTCTTCAGGGATGTCCCCGGGGAATGCCTTGGAGGCCTAGTGCCGGATGAGTTGCCGAAGGGTGGATGGGAGGCGGTCAAGAATGTCAGTTTCTTGTCCAGACCAAAGAGAAGAAGACTCCTGGGGGCAAAACGCTGGATCATTCACCTCTTCTCCGGGGACCCCGGCCACTATGAGATCAGCAAATTGGACCGCGGCGACGCAATCGTTCTGCAGCTGGACATTCGGAACAGCAAGGCCCAGGACATTCTATCCCCGAGTACATGGAGGATGTTGATGTGGGGAGCGCTTCATGGCCGGATTGACTTAGTGATGGGAGGGCCACCTGGTAGAGCTGTAAGCACATGGGCGAAGGACGGGACAACTACCAATCTTCGAGCTCAAACCTTGATCTGCAGGATGTTATGGCTGTATTCATGCTCAGTGGCTGGGCGATGTGCCAGGGCAGACTACGGAGGGAGAAGTAAGCAGGTGGGCTTTGTTCTTGAGCACCCAGCAACTTTGTCTTCTGAGGTTGAGTCGGAGAATAACCATGGCGGGTTCTGGGATTCGAGCCTTTGGCGGATATTTCAGGAGGAGACTGGACAGATCGAGGTGACCTTCGACCAAAGGGCAATGGGGGCCGAGAGGACTAGCGTTACAACCTTGGGAACGAACGTCTTGTACCTCAAGGGCATCCACGGAGTGGGTCTTGAAGGGGAAGAGCGAATCAAGGGGCCGCAGTCTTCTGACTACTCAGTTTGGTCACCGGGCCTAGTGAATGCACTTGTGGTTGGTCTTCATCTGTGGGCACAGTCACCTAGGGCCTATGCAATGTCATCACAACAATGGAAACGCCATGTGGATGCAAACCACCTTCCCTATAGGAAGGACTGTGTGACCTGTGTCATGTCGAAGACGACAGGACGGAGACATGCAAGAGTTCATCATCCGGACAGCTTCGTCCTGACATCGGACCTTGGAGGACCGATTCGGCCTGGACTAGACTCCACGAGCAAAGGGACGATTGGAAAGGGAATCAAGTACCTCCTGGCGGCGAAGTATGTCTTCCCGAAGGAGTACCTGAAGGCCTATAGTGGAAATGAGCCTCCTGAAGACCAAGGCATGCCGAGCCAGATGGAGGTGAAGTTTGGCCCGGAAGACAGTGAAATCCAGAATATGTTTCAGGAGCCACCAGAAGAACATCGCGATCATCTACCACATGGTGACGAAGGGGTCGAGGCTGGAAGAGGTGATAAGCCACCAGAAGAACCTCGCGATCATCTACCACATGGTGACGAAGGGGTCGAACCTGGTCAAAATAATGCAACTCTGGACCACGATCTCTCCGATGGCGACTACGAGCCGACAGACATGGAGGAGGACCTTCCTGACCTAGATCCGGCTAAGCAAATACGAGTTCAAGATCTTGACCAAGCGAAGGAGGACGAGCCTGAGCAGAAGCAGTCGACGCACCCAGTGATGGAATGGGGCGATTGTGAACCGCCTGAACTCTCCTACCTTATCTTCGCCGTTGGACTTCCCAACAACAAGGGCGCTACAGTGAAGTCTGCCTTGCAGGATGTTGCGCTCTACTTGGGATCCCATGGATTGCCAGTCTACCGGTTCCATGCCGATAAGGGGGAGTTCTTCAACCATAGCCTCAGAGAGTGGCTCAGGGCCCAAGGAATTCGTGGCACATGGGGAGAACCCGGAATCCCTCAAACCAATGGGCGAGCTGAAGGCACTGTACGCTGGGTTAAGGATCGAATCAGGACTCTTCTCATGAGTGCACGCCTGCCTACAAAACTGTGGCCTCTTGCTGCGGAGGTGGCAGCTGCCGAACAGAGGTCAATGATGTTGGGGTGGCGATCACTGCTGGCAGCTCCGTTTGGAGCTACCGTCTACATCAAGAAAAAGCCGTTCAAGGCCACTGGTCCACGGTTGCGGGCAGACGCCTTTGAGTCGAAATGGATAAAGGGCAAGTATATGGGACTTAGTGGTTTGCTCAACCGTGGACATGTGGTCTACGTCCCGGCACAGGAGGGTGAAACGGAAGCCTTCCTTCACACTCTACATGTTCGTTCTGACTTGGTCGATCCTGGTGAACCTGAACTGGAACTTCGAGTCGATCCTGCTATGAAGCCAAGGCACAAGGTTGTGGGAAAGCAAAGCCCAGACCGGATCGTCATGAGGAAGTTTGAGGTCGACGCTAGGGAGGCCATTGAGAAGGAAGCGAACCAGTTGTTGATGAATTGGTCTGATCAGAAGGCGATGAACTTTGTAGCATCGTTGGCAAAAAGCCAGGCGGTGGTGGAGAGGAAGTTCGGCGCTTTCCGACATGGTGGGGTGGTGGGTTTGATGCAGGCCTTGACTACCAGCCCGAATACTACGAGGGTGTTAGCAAAGCTGGTTCGAGAGCGAGCACCGACGGCTACCTTCACTGCAGTGTGGATCTCGAATAACACACAGTTGGAGATGCACCGTGACAGTAACAACGATGCTGAAGCCTTGAACTACGTCCTCGCAATCCATGAGCCAAGGACAGGAGGTGAGCTGTGGGTGGAGTTGGAGAAAGGGGATGTGGTTCAGGGTGAGATAACAGAGATGGTGGAGAAGAACGGTGAGAAGTTGTATGGGCAGCAGTTGTCCTTGAAGGAGGGCGAGTGCATTGAGTTCTCACCACGAAAGCGACACGCAGTTCAACCTTGGACAGGGGAGCGCTTGGTCTTAGTGGGATACACCCCGCAATGTTTGGGAAAGTTGAACTATGACATGATCCAGATATTGGAAGACCATGAGTTCTTGGTCCCGGTGTCCCAACTACCGGAGACTTTTCTACCAAGGCTGGCAATGAAGGAGCTGCGGGTTGAGGAGGAGGTCGAATGTAATAAGCGAGATGAAGAAGAACTTCAAGATGAGGAGGAGTGGAAGCTATATTTGGATGTGAAGGGCTCTCCGGTGAAGGTGGCGGGCTCGAGAGATGACTATGATCGAGAACCTGGCCCCCGCGTGTACAAAACCGAGGTGACATACACCAAGGACATAGAGAAGGTCCTTAAGGAGTTGCAGGGTCCCTTGGATGTCGTGTACAATGTGAACCCAGCCGAAGTCCTGAACAACCTCGAGAAATGGCTCCCCTCGATAAAAAAGGAGGTGGATGGAATCATGGTGGCGGTGGAGAAGCTGTTGCCGAACACACCTACCAGGACGGCATGGCTGCAAAGAAGGGGCGTGCAGAAGCTCCCTACCAAGTTCGTGTTCACGGTCAAGCCCAATGACAAGGCGGACATCAATGACCCAGCGACATGGTTCAAGAGGAAGGCGCGACTTGTGGTGTGTGGAAATATGGCCACCCACTCCGACTCTGATCTTTACACCGAGTCCGCCCCCGCAGAGGCGGTGAGAGCTGCTTTGATACTGTCCCAGAGAAACATGTGGGACATTGCCGTCTTGGATATAGTAGCTGCTTTCTTGAAGACGCCAATGGGGAGGTCATCAAGGGATCCTATCGCGGTCGTCCAGCCACCGAAGTTGTTGGAGAAATTACAGCTGACTGCTCCGTTGGAACTTTGGGGATTGGTTAGGGCGCTGTATGGATTGAAAGAGTCTCCTCGACTCTGGGGTTCCTTCCGAGATGAGACTCTGGAAAAATTGGAGGTCCGGATCCACGACAGCGTGTTGCAGATGAGACGAGGGAAGGCGGTCACGGCTTGGTGGACAGTGAAGGATTCCTCCGGAGCGACAGTAGCCATTGTCGTTGTCTATGTGGACGATTTCTTGCTGTGTGGGAAGCGAGACCTGGTGGAGCGCCTTGCCAAGCTGATACAATCAGTGTGGGAAACTTCGCCTTTGCAATTCCTGGAACCAATGCAGCAAGTACGTTTCCTAGGGATGGAGCTAACCATGGCTGACGATGGTTCAAGGGTGGTGTCGCTGTCGCAGGAAGGGTACATCAACGAGTTGCTTCGGGCAAAGCAGGTGGGTGTCACGGAGCTCAGCCAAATTCCCCTCTCGAAGGACCTGGCCTTGTTTTCAGTCCAGCCTACAGATGAAGCACCAAACCCTGAAAGCGTATTAGAAGCACAGAAGGTGGCAGGAGAGGTGTTATGGTTGGCCCAAAGAACTCGTCCTGACCTTGCCTTTGTGAGTTCGGTTATGTCGGCACTTACAACGAAGGCACCGGCCCGGGTCAGCACCATCGGTCGAAAGGTCATGACCTACTTGCAAAAGACGAAGAGCTACCGCTTGCAGGTCAACTACGATGCCTCAGGCCTCACCTTGTTTGCCGATTCTGCCTCTGCTCCGGAAGGAGCCCGCTCGCAGACTGGTTGGTTGGTCATGTTTCATGGATCGGCACTGACCTGGAAGAGCGGAAGGCAGCCAACCGTTTGCCTTTCTACTGCAGAGTGCGAACTCCTGGCTCTCACTGATGGTGCAGTGGCGTTGTTGGGGGCAGAAGCAATGTTGGGGGATGTGGGCGAAGTGATCACATCTCGAGCACTGGCATCTGACAGTACAGCTGCCCTGTCCATTACCTCTGGGACGGGTTCCTGGAGGACAAGACACCTTCGTATCAAATCTGCATGGCTGCAAGAACGATTGGAGTCGGGCTTCTTTTAGGCACGACATTGTCCAGGACGATGGCAGTTGGCAGATTTATTAACAAAGGCACTGTCAGGGCAGCGGATCAAGGATTTGCTAACTCTGTGGGGAGTCACTGGATGGCAAGGCAATGAATCATCGCCTACTACGTCTGGAGTTGGTGGTTCCGCAAGAGTCTTGGTGGCAATCATATGCTGTCTGATGATCATGACTGCAGAATCAAAGTCTGTGGGACAATCGACAAAGCAAGACCTGGAGCTACACTGGGATATGGTTGGATGGATCATGGGTCTTCTGGCTGTAGTGGGCTGTGTAGCGGTTTGGGAGCTATTGAAATGGGGTGCTCGAGAAGTCTGTGACGAATGGGCTCCAGGCGCCGGTTCGAGGAAGTTAAGGAGGCTGAAGAAACTCCGGGATGCAACGACCTTGGCCATACAGCAGGAGCTTGACAGAGTTGCTGGGGACCAACATCGCAATTCCGTCGCGACTCCAGATGATCAGCGAGTATCTCAACAAGCTACCGGGGGTGTGGAGACACCTAGACGGCAGGAGGCACGGTCATCAACGGACCCGTCAGTGAGGAGAATTCCACCATCTCCGGGAGCAGAAAGCACTACATCAACGACGAGCACATGGGCAGACGAGATTACCGATGCAGAGGAGGTTTTCAGAGTGTATAAGGACATGCTAATGCTGCTAACTGTTGAGGAACAAAAGATCGGGCTACGTCCGGAAGGATTGATGACAACTGGAGTCAAGGAGGAGTTGGCTGGAAGGCTTGCTACGAGATTGATGACAGTTGGCCAGCAAGGACGTGTTCCCCCGACAGTTAGGCAGAGCAAGTATGCACTCTGGCTATGGAGGACGAAGCACCTCCAAGGACGATGTTACCTTCGCTACAGTGACCTCTGTGAAAAACGAAGCCTTTCGACCTGGATTGGGGCATGGAAAGAGCGGTAAGACCGCCCATGCCTAACGTCAGGCCGGAGGAGGAGTGAAGAAAGCCCCATCCGAGGTCGAAGTTGTGAAGGTGGACATCGCGCGGCCGAACTTGCTTAAGGGGGGCTACGAAGTAAAACCCTTGGGCAACAAGTACATATCGACACGCCATAGTACAGCTGGCATGTCAAAGCAAACTTTCAACCTTACCATGAGTACAGGCATGGTCGAAGTTGTCGTATGCATACAGGTTCTGCTGTTGCAAGCGAGAAAAACAGGTGCACTCCGCACGTATGTGAGCCATGGCCCGGCATTTCAGTGATGAGTTGGGACCTGTGCCACAACAAAACCCTAAACCCTAAACCCCAAACCCTAAACCCTAAACCCTAAACCCTAAACCCCAAACCCCAAACCCCAACCCTCACTCTGCAGGCCCCTTTGTAATCCAGGCCGGCTGGGCATGTCGTAGGAGTAGCCTGGGACCTGCATTGGGCAGTTAGGGTTCAGGGTTTAGGGCTCAGGGTTGCGGGTTTAGGGCTTAGGGCTTAGGGCTTAGGGGTTTAGGGTTTAGGGTTAGGGTTTAGGGTTTAGGGCTATTCAGGGGTGGCAACTTCGGCATTGTGGTAGTGTATATGGTCACCCCCAAACTCTACAGCACGTCTCTGGTGCTCAACGCATGTGGGCCAGAAGCCTGTGGGGTCAGATCTACATCCTGGGCCCTTCCAGCAACTCCGTCTCCCCAACAGCCTAAACCCTAAACCCTAAACCCTAAACCCTAAACCCTAAACCCTAAACCCTAAACCCTAAACCCTAAACCCTCTCGAGGTGGGGTGCTGGATGAGTATGAGGAGCCAGAAGGGAGAGGCACCGAGATCCCCGCGGAAAGGGGACGGAACGCCCGCAGGGAACGGAAAACGCTGGCTGTTGGGTTGCACAGCTGAGTGAAGTCTTAGCTGCCTAAAGCCCCAAAGTGCCTTTTTGTCGGCTACGTATGTGTTGTCCATACTTTGGGGGTTTAGATAGCCCTCCCCCCCCCCCCCCCCCATGCCAGTCGTGGCCTTGAACCCTATGTCCTACGCTAAGGGCCGCTGTCTCAGGAAGATTCCTCCGAGCTGCCCAGGGGTCGGAGGACCAAAGCTGAGGAAAACATGAACTAAGGCCAGGGCTTCAGAATAAACTCTGAAGAGAGGAAGGCCCTTCTCGTCTGAATGGGGGGTATGGGGAGCTAGGGCTGGGGGCTCAAGGACCCCCAAAAAGATAGGATACCCAACGCCCGAAGTCCCCGAAGCCCCGCCAACCCCTCAACTTCCCAAAGCCCCCAAAAAACCCTAAACCCTAAACCCTAAACCCTAAACCCTAAACCCTAAACCCTAAACCCTAAACCCTAAACCCTAAACCCTAAACCCTAAACCTAAACCCTAAACCTAGTCCGCAGAGCATGGGTCTGACGGCCAGTGCCGTGCACGGTGAGATGCTGAAGCGAAACACAGACTTTCCAAGAGGCGTACCGTGCATACTCTCTCGCCGGCAGGGCCACCTAAATCCTAAACCCTCTAGGCCCCCTAAACCAACCCTAAACCCTAAACTAACCCGAAGACAGAGGCCCCGTCTCCAACCTAAGTTGATCGCTCCCAAACCCCCAACCTCAAACCACTCAAACCCCCAAATCCCCCACACCTCCCAAAAACCCCGCAACCCCTCAAAAAACCCCTCAACCCCTCGAACCCTGAGCCATCCTGTTTCCGTGGGACCGAAGTGGCCTAAACCCTAAAGCCTAAACCCTGAATCCTAGACCCTCAACCCTACATGTATACATCCTAAACCCTGAACCCTGAACCCTCAACCCTACATCCTACGGCCTTTTTGAAGATCATGAGGAAGATGAAGGTGTGGTAGGCCCCCGGAATGAAGCACAGCCTGGGTCGGCTTTGTTGAGTTTAAGGTTTAGGGTTTAGGATTTAGGGTTTGGGGTTTAGAGTTTAGAGTTTAGGGTTTAAGGTTTAGGGCTTTTGTTGTTGTTTAACGGTCATTTGGGGGTGGGGGGGAGGCTTGCGTTTCTTGGTTTTAGGGTTGGCTCAAGGGCTTGAAGGGCTCCTTCCGGAACTAAAACTTGGGCTACAGCCTGAAGCCTGAACCCTGAACCCGATAGGCCGTTTGCCGCGCAATGGTTTAGGGCTTCGCGGGGGGGTAGGTAATAACATGCCTTGTGGTTGGGCGTAGGGGAGGCAAGTTGAGGACGTTGTTGGACACTAAGCCCGAAACCCTAAACCTCTTCACCCCTAAACGCTAAACTCCAAGCGCTAAACCCAAAACCCCCTCAACCCTCAACCCTCAACCCTACACCCCAACCCAATACAAGAAGGCAAACAAATGGAGTAAAAACAAAAACGAAAACGCCACGGAAACCGGGCTACCGGGCCCTCCGAGCACATTGAAGGGCAAAGACTCCCACAGGGAGACCCTGGGCTCAGAGGCGTTCGGAGGTTTAGGGTTTAAAGTTTAGGGTTTAGGGTTTAGGGTTTAGGTTTATTGTTTAGGGTTTAGGGTTTAGCGTTTAGGGTTCAGGGCTTCCGGCTTAATGGCTTAGGGGGATTTACGGCGGTTCGGGGTTTAGGGTGTTCAGGAGGGCTGAGGGGGAGGGGTGTAGTGGCTTAGGGGTTTGGGGTTTAGGGGTAAGGCCTAAGTTTGCCTCCAGGTTGACTTGCCTCGGGCTTCCCCTTGGTAGGGATGTGTGCCTTTGTTTGCAGGGCCCGTGTGCCTTTTCTAGCGTTTTATGGGGCTTGAGGAGACTCCAAAGATCATACTCCGTATAACTCAAACCCTCAAACCCCTAAGCCCTTGAAGCCAAAACCCACAAGCCCTGGCCTGAACCCCAATAAACCCCCCTACCTACTTGTAAACCACACCAAACCCAAGCCCACGTAAACCCCCCCCCTAACCCCACCTAAACACCCCTAAACCCAAAACCCGAAACCCTCAAGCCTAAACCCTAAGCCCTAAACCCTAAACACATGATCTACCCGGGAGGAGCCCTGGTGCCTGAAGAAGACGTTCGCACCACAGAGCAGGCACACTGTTCCCACCTGGAGCCATGCTGCGCTGACCAAAGCTTAGGTTCACAGGGTCTAGGGGTTTTTGGTTAGGGGGTTAGGGGGTTAGGGGTTTAGGGTTTAGGGGTTTAGGATTCGGGGTTTAGGCTGAAGGGCTTCGAGTTTGGGGTTTTTTGTTCAGGGCTTAGGGTTTAGGGCTTCATGCTTTGCTATCATTGGCACCCCAAAACACAGTCACAGCCACGACCAGAGCCCCCTTACTTCATCCCTCAACAGCAAACAACCTTCGGCTCTTGTTACTTTCAAGAGGGAGCAGACGGATGACAGGGCATTGAAGCTGACGGTCCATGGGGCTGAGGCGTTGCGGGCCTAGGGGCTGAGGGGATTGGGCCCAAGAGCCCTTTTTAAGCCCCCTTGGCCGCTCTTGCACTCACGCCGGACATCTTAGGGTTTCGGGTGGGGGCTTTCCTGGGCTGCGCTGCGAACCGCACGATGTTGTTCAGGGCATCAAGCCCTAAACCCTGTAAACCCTTGACCTATAAACCCGAAACCCTATAAACTCCAAACCCCAAACCCTAAACCCTAAACTCTATAAACCCTAAACTCTAAACCCTAAACCCCAAACCCTAAACCCTAAATCCTACAAACCCTACACCCTCAGGTAAAATACCCAAAGCCCTGATGGGCGCCCCGGCCACGAAGAGGAGCAGCGCCAGGGCGAGCTCCTTCGTGGGAGTTCGAGGAACGTCGCGGGTGGATTTCTTAAAGGTTTAGGGTTTAGGGTTTAGGGTTTTAGGGTGGAGGGTTTAGGATTTCGGGCCAAGGATGGCTCAGGATCTTGGTTTTTGGCTGGGACACTTACAATTTTGGAAAGGGGATGTCTTGGGGCCACTTGAGACTATCTGTGGCGAAGACGCAACTCGTATAAATGCAAGATGGGGAGATCGAAGGCAGCAGGATAAAATGTGTTACCTCAATGGGTTTAAGGGTTTAGGGTTTAGGGATTAGGGAGCGTCGTGAAAAGTAGTAGGATTGTCGTGTCTCAAGTGCTAGACTCTTAGACGGGCTTGGTGAGGCTAAGCACAAGAAGGTTTAGACGAATGTACCTATATGTAAGGGCTACTTGTGACAAGTCTTCTGTGAAGACCCTGATCCCCCGGCTGGGACTCAGCCTAAACCCTAAACCCTAAACCCTCCCCAGGAGCGCGCCTTCATGGGCACTTTCGGGGGCCGAAGGGCCTCTGGCTCCTTGTGGAAGTTGGCCTGGCGCGGCCCACGCTGGCTCTTAGAAGGGCTTGAGGGTACTGGAGATGTCCCTTGAAGGGTCTAGGGTTTAGGGTTTAGGGTTTAGGGTTTGGGGTTGAGGGTTTAGGGTTTAGGGTTGAGGGTTTAGGGTACTATAGATATCCTTTGAAGGGTGTATATATGGGTACCCGCATTCACTACTAACTTGAGAACCAGCAGGTCGGGGAGGATGGGTTCAGGAGTCTAGGGGACATTGGCTGAGGCCTCAGAGCTTTTGTGCTGCAAAGGCCTCTGAAGCCTTGGAGTTTAAGGCGTTTCCCAGGGTCATTTCTACCTGCCGTTGGGAATCGTTGTTTTTGTGGGCCGCTGCCGACAAGACTTGGACCGGCAGTCTCACAGCTGAAGCCTCCATAGGCAACAACCCCCTACCCGAAACGTAAACCACGATGCCTACACTTTTTTGCATCCTCAAACCCCGTCCCTGTTGCCCAAAACAAGCCAGGCGGACATACTTGATATTTCGGCGTCGCGAATCGCTCTCCATGGCTTCAATGGGGCGGTGGCCCAGTGTACCGGATGAAGACTGTGTTAAATAGACATCTCAGGCCTGCGGAGTGCCATTAGGGTGGGGGGGATTGCTGAAGCACAGAGGTTGCTAGCAGTAGAAGCTCCAGAAGTAGCTGGTCGTGTTTGCGCCTGGGCTCGCAGCTGTAGCCGTCAGGGGTC